TCCACCGTAATCATCATCAGACATTACGTTTATTTTAAAGTTTAGTGGCGCCACCAAGTGGTGGAATGCTTTGACTAAGTCAGATGTGTTGTGTGACTTGCAGTACAGAATGAATATTCTGTCATCATTTCTTCACCCTCAAGTTCTTCCAAAACTGTATGAATTTCTTTCTTCTGCTGAACACAAAGGTATTTTGAAGAATGTTGGTAACCCCATTGACTTGTACAGTATTTTTTTCTCCTATACTGTGGAAGTCAGTGGGGCCTGTCAACTGTTTGGTTACCCGTATTCTTAAAAATATCTTCTGTCATAAGCATTTGGAACAACTTAAGGGGAAAGTAAATAATATCAGAATTTTCATTTTTGAGTTCAGTCAAATGAATTACACTAAACACATATTGCTTTGGCGTTGGATTGTTTATTTATATTGAATGAGTAAGTTATTAGGCCTTGGTGATTTGGTTGGGTGTAAACTGTACTATCATAAAGGGACAATGTTGTATGTTTCTGAATGAATGGATGAATTGTTTACTTGTTAAACTGCCATCAAAAATGAGTCAGGAAAAGTGAGGGAGATGTTAATGGGAATTGATTTCAGTGTTCAAGTTTTGCCTAAATGACTGCAACCATATTACTGTTAGCATGCCTGCTGTGACACGTTAGGACTTTGTTAAATACAAATAAGGACAGTTGAGCTTTCTGCAGTCTTTCAGATTACATTAATGGTTGCTGTGCCTAATTCTCATAGTCACATATACACACTACACATCCAGTTATCTTTTCAATATCTAATCATTAACTGCCGTACAGTAAACTGATTTGAACTCCAATCGTATTTATTCTGTTTTTATTTCCAAGAAAAAAAAGACAGAAAGATGTTTCATTTGTGATTACATTTATGCGTTTCTAATCACATATAGACATTTCTTAAATAATTTATTGCATGAATGGGTTCTGTTTTTCTTTATTCATTATTGACATCAGAACTAAAGGCATGTAGATTCACACATTTTATTTACTTGAGCAGAACCATCTAATTTGCATTACACAAATATGATGTTCAGATGTGATTTACAAAATGCACGTCGAATCTACAGTCACGCTCTGGTTTCAATAAATGAAAAGGCTGTTGGATGATTTGAAATTTGAATGTCTATGGATTTACTCTTAAATTGCTTTTTTTTGGCTGATTATTTTTCTTTAATGATGACAATAAAATGTAAGGTCTTGACATTGTGGAATTTGTCTGTGTTGAATAGCAATATTGCAAGACCAACATTCCACTGTTCCTTGAAAACCAATTGCTGTTAATTTAATTCTTGTAATAAAAGATGTTTTGGATCAAATTATTTGTTTTGTGCTTGTCTTCCATTATATGTATATCCTAATCTTTACAAAATTAACAAAATTGCAGAATATTCTGCATTTGAAAATGTACATTTATGGTCAAGATAAAATAAATTTGTTAAACTTAACATTGAAATAAAAAATAAAACATTGGTGACGATATTGTTATTTGATGAAAATATTACAGAATAACCCAGCAAATTTTGCACCCTCTATAATATTGCCCATAGAATATCAAGTGCAAGCATCAGGTGTAATATTACCTCACACAACTATATCAAAATCCGAGTTGTGTAGTAAGTGAATTAAATCTGTAAATCATTTGAGATTTTACTGTAATTTAGTGCAATCGGCAAATAGTTTTTTTTTTTTTTTTTTTTTTTTTTTTTTTTTTTTTTTTTATTGAACACACTTATTTACAAAAAAAAGCAATTTACAAAATCTCTCGTTGGGAGACTCATATGCATAACATAAACAGTTACATTGAACAAAATTCAATAAACAAAATAAAAAACAAATAAATTAAATCAATTAAGCAAAGGCATTTCAGTCCATAAGGCACGTCAAAGTTATTCACAAATATATTATCCTCAGTCTTCATATAATCATAAAATAAAGTTACATGGAAGCTTTACAAATTATAATGACAAATATTTTGAGACATCTTCACATAGAGAATAAATTTTGTCACTGGAGTCTTTCAGAAGTTTCAAAGAAACAAAGTATTCCCTCAGTTCAATTTTAAACACTATTATGGATGGATTTTTATTTTGCCATTTGCATTTATGAATATGGTATTTACCCATAATTGTTATAATATTGTAAATTCTAAAGAGTTCCTTCGGAAGGTTTTCGTTACCAAACAGAATTTGCTCTAACTTCAATTGTAAAATTCTCTCCATTTTTATTTCTAGCCAATTCATGACATCTTGCCAGAATCCTCTTATCACTGGACAAGAGAAGAATAAATGTTCAATAGTTTCATCTTCCTGGGAGCAGAACACACATGGCTCCACTTCAAAACCAAATCTCCTTTTCAGCATTGCTGCTGCTGGATAATATCCATTTATAATTTTGAATTGCATTTCTTTAATTTTAGGAGGTATAGGCCATTTCATGAACTTGATGTATTTATTTGTTATTTTGTCATCATAGTGCCTTATTTTTATATTTTGGTCAAAATCATGAAATAGTCTACATTTTAGTATTTTGCTAATACAATTATTGTTACATTTTTTGCTGTTTATGGGAATTTGGTTTAATTGCAATTTAGGCAAATTTACTTGACCTTTGGAATAATGTAAATAATTTCGTATCATATTTAATAAGGCTATTGGTATTGCTTTACATATCTTGTTATAATCCCTTACTAAACTTTGTATATCAAATTTTGTTTTAAAATCCGTAAAACTAAGAAAATTTCCTTGTTCATCTAATATATCAGTGATGAAGATGATTCCCTTTTCAAACCAATTTCTGAAAAAAAGTGTTTTCCTACTAATTGTTATCACTCTGTTATTCCACAAAGTGGAACCATGTGGTGTAAAATTATGAGTAAATACCATCTTCCAGTAATAAAGAACTTGTTTATGATAATCGGACAGTTTTATTGGCAATTTGGATATCTCGAAGTCACACTTTAAAAGGAAATCCAAGCCTCCCACTTTATCAAAAATATGTTTGGGAATATGATACCATAGAGAATCAGGTTTATCTAGAAAGGCTTTAACCCAGTTAACTCTAAAAACTCCAACCATAGATTCAAAATCAATTGTTTTTAACCCTCCTTTATTATAGTCCTTTACAAGTTGTGATTTTTTGATGTAGTGCGAAGTGCGTTTTATTACGCCAGATGAATTGGTATATTATAGTGTTTGCTTTTCTTATGTTTTGTGAACTAATATAAAGAGAATAGCTTGGATAAATTAATTTAGAAACCCCTTCTGATTTTGACAATAGGTTACGTCCTAAAATGGTTAAGTCTCTTGTTAACCAATGATTTAAGTTTCTTTTTATTTCTTCAAATTTTTCTGTGATATTTTTGGTTTCTCTTAATGCCAAGTTTTTAGATAGATGAATGCCCAAGTATTTCACATCATTCTTAACTGGAATCATCTCCAAGGTTTCCTCAGTGCAATTATATAAAGGTAATATTTCACATTTCTTTAGATTAAGGCAAAGGCCTGATGCTCTGGAAAAAACAGAAATCACATTTAAAGCCTTCTGAAGAATTGATTTGTCCTTTAGAAATATCACTGTATCGTCAGCAAATTGGCTCATTTTCAATTCAGTGTCACAAACTTTTATCCCTTCAAGGTCTTTATTATTTATTACAAAATAAGCCAAAAGCTGTGTACAGAGAATGAATAATTTTGGTGAAATTGGGCACCCTTGTCTTATTCCACAAGAGACATTAATTCTTGGAGTGATGCCTGATTGAAGTGAAATATAACTGTATATTTGGTCATAAAACATTCTGATTACCTTACAAAATTTTTCACCAAAACCAAAAAGTTGAAGCGATTCCAGTAAAAAGTCATGTTCGATAGAATCAAATGCCTTGAAAAAATCAATAAACAATATTAGGCTATCAGTGTTAATAAGGCTCTGGTAATCTATCATGTCCAAAATCAGTCTCACATTATTATGAATATATCTACCTTTAATGAAAGCTGACTGAAATTCGTCTACTACCTTGTTCAAGACATTTTTTACTCTGTTAGCATATACCAAAGCTAATAATTTATAATCATTACAAAGTAAAGTTATAGGTCTCCAATTATCTAATAATAATAAGTCTTTATTTGGTTTGGGCAACAATGTTATCAAACCAGTTTTCATTGTTGGGGATAACTGGCCATTTTTTATGCAATCGAGGTACGCGTTAAATAATAGATTTTTAATATCTGACCAAAAAGTCTTAAAAAATTTCTAAAAAAAAATTGTCTTCCTCTGTTAGTCTAGTTACATTTTCACTTACACTTTTCATAAAGGCATCACAATCATCTCTCTGAAATTTTTTCTTATATAAGTTGCCATAGAACTGACATACTTCCTCTGTTATTTTATTTGTGTCTTGAATGATATTTCCATTTTGGAAATCGTCTCCGTTTTTCAAGGCTATAAAAATATGATGAATTTTTTTCCCCCTGCTCAATCCATTTGGCTTTTGATCTCACAAAGGCGCCTTTTGCCTTCTCTATGTATATAACATCTAATTGGTTCTGGAGCGTGTGTAACTCTTGTGTCTCTTCTACAGTTAAGTTAGGTTTTCCACATAATAAACTTATCTTTTCAACAATTTCCTTTTGTTTACATTTACGGTTGTCAGCTATTTTCTTTCCAGTTTCAATAGCTTGTTGCTTTACTTGAAATTTAAACCACTCCCATACAATCGGCAAATAGTGTAACCTGATAAAACTCTTCTCCATGAAGGCGGAAGACGGAAGTGTGAATCATATGACAAAACATGTAAGGTGGGAGGGAAGGAAGAAGGCCGACTTGTACACACTCACTTCACTTCGGTAAGGAGCATTTCTTGGTTTTACTAAGGTATGGCGACTCGTTTCCACTCATCTATGGCTTTGTGCACTGCTTGGTTGGTTCAGTAATACCGCACTGTAGATTAAAGGATTACTGTGCGCTCTCATAAGCCCTGATTATAGAAGGTCATGAAGCTTCAGCTCGCGAGCCGTTAGCATTTAGCTAGCTCATCCATCGACTCTACATCTCCGCGAGCAGGTTCATTCATCCGCCAAAAATGGAGTGGGCAAGTCAACTATGTGTGAGTGACGGCCTATTTCGCTCTAAAGGGTTAGAAGAAATACTCGTTGATAGATATGGGTTTAAATGAGTTTGAAATTTCCTATTCGAGACGTAATAAATGGGTTTTGCTAGTTAGCTCTGCGGCTTTTACTTCCACTGAAGCGGTTAAGATTAGTGAGTGTGTCTGTCACCTGCTGCAGTCACTGCTGTGCCACGTAACGTTACTTTAAACCAGTTGTGATGTTACGATTGTTGGTAATAATCATTTACGATTACGACCAGGTTCTGAATGAATCACGTTAACATTCGTTTAGTAGTGTAGGGCAGCTCTTTGACAGTTGACAGCTAGCTAACGTTACTTTATCTGTAAGTTAGTTATTGCACTAGCTGGGGAGTGGGACGCCGCCTCACAGGTTGACGAGATAGATTATTATTTTCGGTTAAATGTGAACATGCTGGAATGGCTGTAACTTAGATTAGCAATAGCAAGTGTGTGTCAACGTTATACTGTCTATTGTTCCTAATCTTGTTTACGCGGCGGTATCAATTTTTGAGTCCAACTAATACTGGTTAAGTTGGTTTATGTAGTTGTTGATTTCTCGACAAAATTGGTGGTTAATTCTTGTGCTCTTCTTACAATGTTAAAAGCTTTCAGAAATTAGTTTTAAAATAACTGTTTTCTATTTGAATATACAGTATTTTAAAATGCAATTTATTCCTTTGATGGCAAACCTACATTTTCAGCATCATCAGTCTTCAGTGTCACATGGTCCTTCAGAATTCATTTTGATATGCGGATTTGGTGCTCAAGAAACATTTGTTTATGCATTAATGGTGTTCAAAAGAACAGTATTTATTGACAACATGAATACTTTGTAACATTTACTGTTTTTAGACTTTTGTAGCAAAGTATTCTAAATGTCTTTACTGTCAATTTTGATAAATGTGTTGTCCTTGCTTATATAATTAATAAATTACTGATTATTATTTTTTTTTAAACTCTGGCTAAAATGGTAATTGTTTCTAAGCGGTGTTAGTTAATGTATTGTAGTGATTTTGTATGTTTTTGTAATGAAATAACACAGCAGTGCTTGAACAATGAATGACTTATGCATGTCCAGAGTCAGTTGACTGTAATGTTGCCTTACCTTGTACTGTCTGTGAGTATTGTCTTCAAAGGCCTTAGACTGGTGTGACCGTTAACTGATAAGTCGTGGTTCATGGGTGATCATAATAAGTTTGCATATGGTCAGCAGGGTTACATGGGTAATTCAGGCTTACAGATAAGAATTCTACAGCCTCTTTATTGTAGCAGTCTGAAAAAGTTATAAGGGAAGATAGAATATTTGTAAATGCAACACATTCATGGCTGTTTTTGTCCTCTTATGTTCATCCTAAGCTTCACTCGATTTTATTTTTTTAAATTGAAGTATAAAATATGAGGTTAAAGTTACTCTATTTTTAATGTTGCCAATATTACACTCATCTCGGACAACCAGTGTCTCTGTTTGTATTCAGCCATGTTTAATTTATTACGTAATTGGAAGTGTCCAATAACGGGCAGCTAACAAGTTTAACGATCTGTAAATAAAATTAAAATGTTAGATATATTCAGTGAGGATGCATTAAATAATTGATCAAAAGCGACAGTTAAGACTTTTACATTGTTACAAATGATATCACAAATATTACACAGCTCAACTCTTTTAACCTTGATAATAATAATAAGAAATGTTTCTTGAACACCAAATCAGCACATTAAAATTATTTCTGAAGGATCATGTGATTTGAGACTTGAGTAATGGAGTAAAATGTAGAAAAGTTAATTTTATTAATAATATTATTTCACAGTTTTTGACTGAATCTTTGTGTGTCAAAAATTGCAGCCTTTTAGCATGAGATCTTTCAAAAACATTTTTAAAAATCTTACCGACCTCAACTCTTTTGAACAGTAGTGTACACAAATAAAAAAAACTTGTCATCACTCTAGCTGAATCAGCTGAATCTTCCTATTAAAAGACCTTTCAGGTGATGGCAAGAGTCTAATGTGCAATAACAGGAAATGGGAAACTCTTCCCAGCAGATTTAAAGACTGTGAGAAGGCAATCATTGTGCACAGAAAGTATAATTTGCTGACTGAAAGAGAACAAGAAGCTTTAACAATATGTTTTTCCCCACTCCACAATCTCTAAGAAACATCAGTGAAGGTATCAGCAGGACAGGGACTCGACTTCCTCTTATTCCCCTGCGCTTGCACATTTTCACTATCCTACCTCCCTTTATTCTCTTCCTCACTTTTCTTGTGGAGTGCTTATGAATGTTTCTTTCTTTTCTGCTGCAGGAGAACCGAGGCTTGGGATCCAAGATGACAGACTCCAAATATTTCACCACTACCAAGAAAGGTCTGTTTTTTTCCGATTTACTTTAAAGTAAGCTGTTTTGGGATTAGTACATCACATTAAGTCAGTGAGATTAAGTCATGAAATGTGTGTCTGTTGTGGCCAATGCAGATCATCAACTGCACTGCACAACATGGGAACAACATTTAGCACTTTGCTACATATGCCTGCTTATTTTTTTTTTTACTCTGCAGAACATGGTGTACTAGCGGCTACTAATATTGCGTAATTGTGTGGCAGTCTAAATCAGTCACATGATTGTGCCAGAAGTATTTTTAACTGCAAATAGAGCTGCATGTTACTTGGTCAAAGCCGAGAAAAACGGTGAACACCAAATTATGATTGAATCATTGTCTTCTCTTTTATTGCATAAGAAAAACTGTTTTCTGAGAGCACATCATTGTCATTCACGGGTTATGTGACATCTAAAAAAAGTCATAAATGTCTGTTGTCTTGTGTGTCTGACCCTTCAGGGGAGATCTTTGAGTTGAAGGCAGAGCTCAATAGTGATAAGAAAGAGAAGAAAAAGGAGGCAGTGAAGAAGGTCATTGCGTCTATGACAGTGGGAAAAGATGTCAGGTAAGACAAGCCGTGTTTCACAGTGAAGTATTAATGTCCGACTCTTTTACAGGAGGTTTTATATGCGATATCATCCATCATGTTTATCTTTTGGAACAGAATGGCGTTTATGGAGTTTTTGATCTTAATATCTTTGTCCCCAGTGCTCTGTTTCCTGATGTTGTCAACTGCATGCAGACGGATAATCTGGAGCTGAAAAAGCTGGTTTATCTGTATTTGATGAATTATGCCAAGAGCCAACCAGACATGGCCATTATGGCAGTGAACACCTTTGTAAAGGTAAGGTTCAGAGACATCAGTGAAACGGCTTAATAGTTTTGTTTTATTTTAAGGCTTTTATTAGTATTTTCAATATATTGTGATGCAGTTTGCACAGGCTATAGATAGATATTACGTATTATTTTACTTTCCAATGCAGAAAACTTAAATGTCGGAAAAAGCATGTCGTCGGATATGAGAGACAAGACACCCGCACGCCAAGAAATTTAACCACCAACCTGTTCACCCACCTCCGCCTCCGTTATCTTGCAGATTTGGCCATTCATACTCAACTCCAGAGGGTGCCCTCACACCAGAAGTGAGACTCATTGGAGTAATAAAACTGGAGATATTCCAGGCAGAGGTCGCGTTACACTTTCACACTGTCCATCGTTTTGATGGACAAGGTCGTAAAATTGCTGTCGTAATCTTGTCATATTTTAATGATAATAAGACATTTAAAGCTGCAATAGGGAGTTTTGAGAAAACATTGACTTAGGCCCCGTCCACACTACTGCGTTTTCATTTAAAAACGGAGACCTTTTGCTACGTTTTGCAACTCCCGTCCAGACTAAAACGGGAAAACGAAGACCTAAAACGGAGAAGTTTAGAAATGCTGCAGCTCCGTTTTGCGTTTTGAATATCCGGAGGGCGTTTTAGTGTAGACGAGATGAAACGGTAGACTTCAGAAATGCTGACGCTCGGCTCTATGATTGGGTGTTATCAGTCATGACGTATCCTTCCCTGATTCGTCAACCACTGTTGAATGAATATGAATGAAAGAATAAGAGTAAAGATGAATTTGACTGATAGCATTATTATAATTTTTTTCAAGATTTCTGTAGATATCGCTATTGTGAATTCTTTTGGCCATGTAGTCATGTAGTGAATCTGAATGTCGTGACAGCCGTACTAGTGTGCATTATAAAATGCACTCTAAAGTTATGAAACCAACATTCTGGACAGCGAAGTGCTTTAAAAGCAAGTCATAAGCTTGGCAACAGCAGAGAAACTTTATTCTCTCTGAGTACTAGAATAGTCAGTCTTTATAGGAGGGTGCAGTGTGCTCCATCAGCACTGAGTTTTTGATGGCTTCACACACATCTGAGAACGGAAAGAGACACATTACCAAAGCAACTAACTAGATTGAAGATTTAAGCCTATCACAGCAAGTTAGAAAACAGAAGAAAAAAGTTTCCAGCTCTTTGAGAATCTGTTATGTATTATGCATCTGTGTTTTTATTTATCTCCTTTTCAACGTCATCACTAAGACTTTCACAGAAACAGAGTGTTTTTAAACTGCCATAATATTAGTGCGGTTTATACTGGTCAAATAAAGTTGCCTTGGTGAGAGATATTTTTCAAAAAAAAAAAAAAAACATTTTGAACCGCAGTGTCTATCTGACAATGTCTATGTTTTAGGTGTAATGTGTGTTGGTTATATGCTCTCTTCTGCAGGACTGTGAGGACCCAAACCCTCTGATCCGTGCGCTGGCTGTGCGCACCATGGGCTGCATCCGAGTGGACAAGATCACGGAGTACCTGTGTGAACCTCTGAGGAAGTGTCTGAAAGATGAAGACCCCTATGTGAGGAAGACTGCTGCAGTTTGTGTTGCTAAGCTCCATGACATTAACGCTCAGCTGGTAGAAGACCAGGGCTTCCTGGACACCCTAAAAGACCTGATCTCTGACTCAAACCCCATGGTGAGACACAACTTAAGTATTTCAAATCTAAATGCTGGTTAGATACTGGCAGTATTCTTAAGAATACTCTCTGAACTAAGGCAAATCATACAATAAGAGTGTATTTGTTAATCCAAGCTAATTGTTATCCAGTTGTTCCAAACCTGTATGCGTTTCTTGTTGAACACAAAAGAAGATATTTTGAATATTGTCAGTAATCAAACAGTTGACGGTAGCCATTGACTTCCATAGTTGGAAAAATATATATAATGGAAGTCATTGGCTACTGTCAACTGTCTGGTTACCAACATTTTTTAAAACATCATCTTTTGTGTTCAACAGAAGAAAGAAACTCATACAGGTTTGGAACAACCAGAGAGTGAGTAAATGATGACCATTTTTATTTTTGGGTGAACCATCCCTTTAGCTTCTGTTGCGGATGTGCTCTTCCCATAACAGTAACACTGAAACACAAAGAATTCACGACATTATATTACAATAGTGTAGTATAACAACTCATTATAATATTATATATATATATATATGGCAGATTGTCCTTGCACATCTTGCACTTAACTGTTTTTCATAATCAAAGTGATTCTAGGCATCACAAATCCATAGTTTCCCTTTTATTATTCAGACTGGATGGCATGCTGTCCAAACTCTAACCAGTCAGACCTCAGGTACCCCCCAAAATGCCGCAATAGCCCATAAGATAAAAAAAGAAATATTTTTTAAAGTCACGGCGATCATTGTTTTCATGATTGATTGTTGCTGTCACATCACAGTACTCCTGCACAACCCTGCATGGCAGCGTCATTTAGCTCTCTCTCTTAGTCTCCATGGTGTGTAATTACATGCTTTTGTTGTGCGAAACCTGAGCCCGTGCACACACACTACCACTGTATTGAGTTTAATGCCTTTGTTTTGTTTTTTCCTCCATTAGGTGGTAGCAAATGCAGTTGCGGCTCTGTCCGAGATAGCAGAATCTCATCCTAACAGCAACCTTCTGGACCTGAATCCTCAGACCATTAATAAGCTTCTGACAGCCCTTAATGAATGCACTGAATGGGGTCAGATCTTCATCCTCGACTGCCTGGCCAACTACACACCCCGTGACGACCGCGAGTCACAGAGGTCAGAGGGCAATGTTATTTCATCACTCCTGTGTGATGGACTCTAAATTGATTCTCTAATGAAGTCTACACAATACATAGACACTAGCTTCACTAATAAAGCTGATTCAGTGTAGTTATTGGTATTGATTACCCAATCTAAATCTGAATCTAATTGACCTACAATTGAATCAGTGTTGATTCGGTTAGGGATTTTAAGAATTGTTCAAATGTAGATTGTAATTATTTGGAAATTATTATACAACCGAAACTATGCAGTGAGTGTGTATTTACCCTTAAAGATTTGCCTTTTTGAAGCATTGGTCTCACTGTCCTCCCACAGTATCTGTGAGCGTGTAACTCCACGGTTGTCCCACGCCAACTCTGCCGTGGTGCTGTCTGCCGTGAAGGTTCTGATGAAGTTCATGGAGATGCTTCCTAAAGATCTAGATTATTACGGCACCCTGCTAAAGAAACTTGCTCCTCCCTTGGTCACGCTCCTCTCAGCTGAACCTGAACTGCAGTATGTTGCCCTAAGGAACATCAACCTCATCGTACAGAAACGGTAGGTGTAAAGCTGAGGAAAATACATTTGTTTAATCAAAGTGGTGAAGATTTGGGGATTTAAAAAAAAATATACATTTTAATTTTTGTTTCTACCAGGCCTGAAATTCTAAAGCATGAGATGAAGGTATTCTTTGTGAAATATAATGATCCGATCTATGTCAAGCTGGAGAAGCTGGATATCATGATCCGCCTTGCGTCTCAGGCCAACATTGCTCAGGTGAATAAAACGAGCACTCGCACTGATCCTTTATGTTCATACATTTATATATTACACCATCCAAATACAGTGGAGTCCAAAAGTCTGAGATTAATATTGTAAATACTTCTGTTGTGTTTAATTGATACAATTTATATTATCAACATAATAATTTGAGTGAAAAGTGACCTGACAACTGTCCGATATCAGAATGTCTTAGTATTTGGTTTGTCACTCTTTTGCTTTAATGACAACTGTACTGAAAATGCATGAAATAAGTTTTTCTTTTTTTTTCTTGAAAAATTTGAATGGACTTTAAAAGGCATATTTTTGATCTGCCCAATTTTCGATTGACTGATTTTTATCAAGTACAAATAAAGAACCTTTAATATACTACACTTGTTTAGTAGTTTTTTTGTTTCAAATTTAAATAGTTTAATTTAAAATGTTTGTATTTATTGAATGTAGAATCTGTACCTACCATGAAATAGCCTGTGAAGCTGAAATGGCAAACGTTTTTCAATCCTATTTGTCAACATCACTCACTTTTGAAGCTCACTGTGTCACATCAACATTTGAAATGTGCTTCTGAGAGTCTGTTAAACGTATGTGTGTTTGGGTTGTGTAGGTGCTGGCTGAGCTGAAGGAATACGCCACTGAAGTGGACGTAGACTTTGTGCGTAAAGCTGTACGAGCCATTGGCCGCTGCGCTATTAAAGTAGAGGTGAGCTGGCCTAACCCTGAATAAGATAACAGATGGCCAGAGTTAATTAATTTAGTAATAGTGTTAACAATGGCAATCATGTTCATTTTAATTGTAAAGTGCACCGCTCCTAATGAAAGGATTCAACCTGATGTGAAACAAAAGCCTACTGCTTAATTGGTTAATTTTTGCACGATCCCATTTATGCAAATCAGCTGATCTGTCTTTTGGTCTCTCCTTTCTTTATTACAGCAATCAGCAGAGCGTTGTGTCAGCACGCTGCTTGACCTCATTCAGACCAAGGTCAATTATGTGGTGCAGGAAGCTATTGTGGTCATCAAGGACATCTTCCGAAAGTACCCCAACAAGTAGGTTTCTCATCTGTTTGCTATACATTGCCAATGAAGCTGTTTCTCAAAACTGAATCCTATTTCTGTTTGGCTAAGGTTCGTTATTCAGCTGTTAGAGGTCAATTGTCCTAGCTCAGCCTCTGTTTTGCCCTGCCTTTCATTCTCAAATGTGTTTAAGAAACATTTAATAAAGATTCACTGAACCCAGCCTCCCCCCCACCCCACTATGTAATTTTGCTATTTTTTGCAGCTTCATTGTGGCTTTCTTCTTTATTGTGCTTCTAGGTACGAGAGCGTGATTGCCACCCTGTGTGAGAACCTCGACTCTCTGGATGAGCCTGAGGCCCGGGCAGCAATGATCTGGATTGTGGGAGAGTACGCAGAGAGGATTGACAATGCTGACGAGCTGCTGGAGAGCTTCCTGGAAGGCTTTCATGATGAGAGCACACAGGTGAAGTGCCTTTCAAATCACTTATTAAAATGTTTGCTTATGAAATAAGAAACAGCTGTTTTTTTCTATTGTATTAAAGGGATAGTTCACCTGAAGATGAAAATTGTGTCATTAATCACCCTCATGTCATTTCAAAGCAGTAAGAGTTTTGTTCATCTTTGGAACATAAATTAAGATTTTTTATTTTTTTTAATCTGAGAGCTTTCTGCCCCAAAGTGAGCTACGCAACGGACACTTTGACGCTTCAAAAAGTTCATAAAGAGATTGTAAAACTAATCCATATGATTTAATCGGTTTTGTTCAAATTTTCAGAAGATGCTCGATCGCTTTATATGATGAACAGAGACTCAACCGAACCTGCTTGACATGCGAGAACGCAAGCGTAACACACGAGAATGAACCTCATTTATGCTCGCACGTCAAGCTAACATGCTTGAGCTTTCATTTACCACAACTGATTTGCGAGTTGATAAATGTTTATATGTGAATAAAAGCCTAAATTCAATCTATTGTTCATATAAAGCAGTAGTGTCTCTTTTCTTTGGACTAAACCGCTCATGGATTAATCTCTTAATGAACTTTTTGAAGTGTCTAAAGCCCTATTCGCACAGGATTAGTATTATCTGGGGACCTCATGTGATTTATAAATTACCTCGCCACATCTGAATTTCATGTGGCGCATTCGCAGGGGATAACTGAAGCCTGTGATTTTTCTCGAATTTACTGACTTATCTCCCCGATATGACGTCAATAGGCTATTGCTTGGAAATTTATTTTCGTTATAGGTCAAGCTGTATGATATATTATGACATAAACAGAATAAAGTTCCTTACCACATGTTGCTATACATGTCATTCATCTCTATCTAATCATTCATTTTCTTTTTGCTCTTCTGATGATTTTCAGCTTTTACTTTCTGCAAATGGTGTAGTTGTGGATAGCGATATGACCCAGCACCAGAAATACTTTCAAAACACTCCAAAGCAGCCTCCATTCTCCGCAAAAGATGGATAAAAAAAGTGCACATGAAACAAAAACCTTGAAAAAATGCTGTACGATACGGCCAAAACACAGAGATGCCGATTCGCACGGGGCTGATATTATCACAGGACCTCGGTGTTCGGCGAAATATAGTAGGTAATTTGCGAGGGAATTTTTACTTTACATATTACAGACATGGCCAATTCGCACAGGATTAAGATCACAGACAAACTCCGCAATTATTACAAATTACTATAGGTCACCAGATAATACTAATCCCATGCGAATATGGCATACTTGTCAGTTGTGTCAGAAAGCGCTCAGATTTCATTAAAAAAAAAATCTTCAATTGTGTTCTGAAGATGAACTTAACTCTTAAGCCCGGAACACACCATGCAGAGCCCGGATGTCACATGGACTACTTTGATGATGTCTTTATTTCCTTTCTAGACAAAGACAGTATACCATACACATTTTCAATGGAGGGACAGAAAACTCGCGGACTGAATCTAAAATATCTTAAACTAAATCTTACGGGCTTTAATCATTAGTGACATAATTTTGGGTGAATTAACCCTTTAAGCAGACTTGTGTTATGTAAGCATTGTATTAAGAGCATAAAGAATTCTCACAGAGGAATAGGGAGACTTTGCTGTGGTAGTATGAAAATTGTTTTTTAGAATTTCTAATATTTTTTTTTCATACCATAATACTCTAGTGAATAACTTGCATGAACTTGTCTTTTGGGAGGTAGTGTTACAGGATTTGTCCCTGTGTTAAGTTTTTTTTCATGCTCCCCTCTCAGGTGCAGTTGCAGTTGCTGACAGCTATTGTGAAGTTGTTCTTGAAGAAACCCACCGAGACCCAGGAGCTGGTGCAACAAGTGCTCAGTCTCGCCACACAGGTGAGATGTCCACACAGACGGTTATCAAAGCACACATTTCAGTGAGAAAATGACACTGCACCTATACTTGCTCACACCTTCAAGGGCACTCTCTGGAGGTGTTGTTGCCATCCTCAAAGTGCACATCTCATAAGCAAAGCTGCTTGGCTTGCTGAATCACTCCAAAGAGAACAAGATTTTCACAGTTGCTCAACACCCTGACGTATTTATCTTTGGTTGATGTTTTTTTTTCTGTCTATTTGAAAGATAGGTTAATAATAACATGTTGCATTCTATATTATGGCTATATATCTACAGTTTTCTATATATCCCTATTTATGTCATTATTAGTGCATCAGAAAGCAGTTCAAGGCTTATTCATGGCTGGATAATTCTTGGCAGGTTTAAAAAGCCCTTTTAAAAATAAAAATGAACACTGTTAAATAAAAATAAAAGTACAGTCAAGTCAAATAAAACACGTTTTATCTCCTGTATAGTTTGGTAACACTGCAATAAGATACCATTCATTAACTTTACTTAATGTGTTATCTAACATCAACACATTGAGTATTAAATAATGTTAACAGATTTTAAAAATGTATTAGTAAATTTAAGTAATAATTTGTCTGGGTTGTGTGGTTTCATTTTACCCTATATCAAGAAAATGAACACAAAAGAAAAACTTGCCAGAGCTTTTGGGCCAGAACCTGAAACCCTGCATTAGATCAAAACAGCAGGATTCTGACAGATTTATTTTTATTAAACATACATTTTTAATGCTAGTAAGCCTTGCTTTCTTCCTCTGTGCCAGTTATGAATTGGATTGTTTCTAAATCACTGTAATTCACTAGGGTAATTAACAATTGTTTTGCATCATTAGAAGCTTTACAAGCTTTTCCTTTTAATTAAACAATTCCGTTACAGAATATGGACACTTACAATATGTTCAGTGTTCGAGAGCACTGCAGATCCTTTCGTATCCTTGCTTGATGAACAAGAACCAATCAGAACAAGACAGCAATCATGGTTGATCTTGTATGTAGGTGCATTGATCAATATGTGATTACAAAAATGTGAATTCTATGTAATTAAAAGCCTGTTGATGCATGACCAAAACTTCACTAAACATTGTTTTATGTCAGCATGACTCTCATACAATAACAATGGGCTTTGTTACTTTCAATACAAAATTTCTGAACTTACAGAATTTGAAAGACTATCACAAAATTCAAATGATAAATACAGTTTTGATGCTCTTTAATTTGGCCTGACAAATCATTGAAAATATTGATTAGAATAGTTTCATGTTTGTGTGTAAGGGCTAGGGAGCATTTGTGTGATCTCATTAATATTCAGAGAAGCCATAAACTTGTGCTGTCAAACTGGGATCTGAGATTGCATCTTGTCATTATTAACTTTGAGATTCAGTGCCACAGGCTGTACTCGCAGAATACCAAATGTCCTTCTTTATCCCAGGTGCCATTTTATGGCCTCCAGATCTAATTCTCTCACCGCTGTTTTGCTTTGCTGGTGCTCTACTTGATCTTATCACATAGATGAATTGGTGCTTAGGAGTTATGCATTATTTACATAAGACTGTCCTTCAATTGATTTTTTTTGTTGTTGAAAAAAACAGTCACTTGTATTGCTTTATTTTCTCTTCCTTATATTCTCACATCATAAATAGCATATAATTCCCCTTGGTTTTCAACTGGTCACTTTCACTTTCCCTGAATTTTGCTTGTTTTTAACTTTGCAGGATTCTGATAACCCTGATCTGCGCGACCGTGGCTACATCTACTGGCGTCTGTTATCTACAGACCCTGTGGCAGCTAAAGAGGTGGTGCTGGCTGAGAAGCCTCTGATCTCAGAGGAGACAGACCTGATTGAGCCCACCCTGCTGGAGGAGCTCATCTGCCACATTGGTACTCTGGCCTCAGTCTACCACAAACCCCCCAGTGCTTTTGTGGAGGGCAGCCGTGGCGTTCAGCATAGGAGACTTCCTCCTCGTGTTGGCTCGTGAGTCTCTAATTTGTTTCTTTTCTTATATTATTTTATATACAGAAAAGTATAAAGATTTGTTTATATATGCATTAGTAACAATTATTATAATTATTATAAGTATTTATTTATATATTTATATATTAGGGCTGTGCAAAGATTAATTGCGTTTAAATCACATCCAAAATAAAAGTTTGTGTTTACATAATATGTGTGTTTGCTGTGTAAAATTATTTTGTATATATTTAAGAATTATTTTCACATAAATACTGCACACACATATATACAGTATATATATATATATATATATACTTTGTACATATATACAATATATATATATATATACATAATATACATATATATAATATACATATATATATACATACAATATATATGAAGAGCTCTTTTCCAAAACGCGATAAACGCCAGTTTAACGCCATTCGTGTCATTCTGCTGTGGACAGAACCCTTTCACTGCCCCATCGACGTTTCATGCCAAATCGCTATATTTCCTTGTTTAAAATGTACTGCAAGATACAGTTTCTTTCCAAGCCGCGATAAGCGCCAGCCCTGTTTTTAGCCTAAACGCGATAAGTCCTCAAATTCGATGAGCGTTCCACGTAATCCAGCACGGCGGCACTCTAAACAGAAGTTTATTATGTTCATTCTTTCCTCAAAATGAGTCCTAGTTTTCTAGTCGACTATAGTAGTAGATCATTTAAGCCATTTGTCTAATCAGTAGGCTAATCACATATATTGATTTAATTAAATGGGAGAGAAACCATATGAGCGTTTTCTATTCCGCATCTCAATGCATGCATAAAGCTTGCCACAAAGAACCGGCAAAAGTAATGATTATGCATGAAACATTTGAATTGTTTATTAATAAACTAGTGTTTTCTGTCAGTGTCAGCAACAAAGATAAAGTTGATGATGCTACTCGCCATCTTCGCAGTGAACGTGCATAAGCCTATAGAGAGATACTTCGAATTAGCCTACATACGCAGAGAGTTGCCAATTTATTTTAGTTTTTAATTGTTTTGTTTAAAAGTAGACATTTAAAGATTTCTGTAGCCTAGTTCTCAGGTTTTTGAGGCAAGCATCGCAGTGTTTCGGTTCATAATATTTTAGACGCGCTCTCCGGTTCACGTGCGCGCCTCTGTGTCCTAATTATATTGTCTGATATTTGCTGTTTTAATCCAGTCAATTTGTTGATGAAACATTTATTAAAATAAAGATATAATTTATATCAAACGAAATTTACAAGCTTTCTACAAAACAAAACTTAATAAGTGGTCAAAATCATGTCTGACCCACTCCAAATATTTTCCGATATTGGTTGGATATCTTACTCATCTTATGCGGTTCCCTTTTCATAGTCTACTCAACATAGATGAAATAATAAAAATAAGTAACGTAATATTAGTAAACACAAATGTGAAACGTAACCTATGTTTATTTTATTTTTATTTTTTTTTACTTATATTTAAGCGTCTCGCCGCTCCGCTTTGCTCACAAGCTATAGCCTATGTGTGTGTGCATGTGCTGGAGGGGTGCCCATCCCTTTTTTGAATATCGTTATCATTATTGATCATTTTTAATAATTAGTTTTTTCATGCATATGTAGAAATTGGTAGCCTACTATTTGTTTGAGGTTTGACACTTTACTAAAAATGACTTTACTAAAAATGATACAAAAAAATGGATGGATGTAGGCCTATAGCGTTTTGAAAAAATAAATAAAATTAACTTTTAATTTATCATTAACAATATTGTTGTTTGATTTAATAATCATTGTTCAAAATGTTCAGACTGAACCAATAAAACATTTCAACAGGATAATTTGATTATTCACAAAATGTGTGGGTCTAGGTAAAAAATGTAGTTTTCCTGAAAACTATTGAAATGGATTTATAGCGTTTTGGAAAAGAGCTCTTTATATATATATATATATATATATATATATACTATACATAATCTATATTATAATAATAATAACATTTTCTTAAATATATACATGCATGTGTGTATTTTATATATAGAATATAATTATACACAGCACACACAAATATATTATGTAAACACAAACAACTGTAATTTTAATGAAAAATTTAATAACATATAAGATAAGTTTTATTAAAAATTTTGAATTAGCTTTATTTCTATATTATTTAGTTTTGATGTTGATTTTAGTTTAATTTTTAGTCATTTTATTATGTGCTTTTGCCATTTCTTTTACTTTTTAAATATAGCTTTTTAGGTTTCATTTATTTTTATTTCAGTTTTCAATTTTCAGTTCATTTTCTTTTCTTTATTTCCAGTTAATAGTTGTATTTTACATTTTACATATTTTATTTTAAAATGTGTTTTAATACATCTAGACTTTTTTTTTTTTTTTTGAAGTAAAAAGATGCATCTATGTTTTTAATAAATGGTAATTTCTCTCTCCTTAGTGTTGAGAGTGCCGAGAGCCCTGATGTTGGCCAGTCTGGACCTTCTGAAGCTCCATCCGCTGTCATTCCATCACAGGGTGATCTCCTGGGTGACCTGCTGAACCTGGATCTGGCCCCGCCCACTGCCACTGTCCCTGCAGTGCAGCCCTCAATGCAGATGGGAGCCATGGACCTACTGGGAGGAGGTCTGGATAGTCTGGTATGTTTATCTCATGCTGCCTCTCACTTTACTCCAAACATAATCATTCCTTCATGGTGAAATTAGATTAATGAAGAGGAAACACAGAGTAATTACTAGAATGAATATACCCATCTTTTCCTTTAACAGTCTGTGTGCGTGTTTGTCAGTTGTTCAGCTTGCACATGTGTTGTAGGACATTTATTTAGTGTCACTGTTGACCGGTTCCAGAGCTACTTAACTAAGTTGAGATCATCCAAGTGGATTCTGATCTCAGATCAGCCCCTCACCCTTAAACACACATCCAAAGTCCCTTAACCAGTGTAATTGTGTCTGTTGAGAAATCACAGATGGTCTAGCATAATTGGAGTTAACTTTCCCTTGTCTGTATTTCCCTTCTGGTCTTCTCTTTCTCTTTTTTGACTTTCTCTTTTTCTTTTTTCTTTTTGTTCCTCTGTCTTTTATTCTCTTGCAACACTTGCAGATGGGCGATGAATCAGATACGGTAATTAAACTAAGTGAAAGAAGAAGCAGACACTTTCAAATCATGCCATTTCATTTGTCTAAATGGGATCTGTATTTTAGTAGGGGGAAACCAATGTACTCTTCACACCAACAAAGGGCTGCTTCAGCTACTTCCATTTACGAGTACATTTACAGCCCCAGCAATGTGATGTTATTTACAACCACTTGTTTTTTATGCATTTAATGAGTGTCAACATTAGTCAAATATATCCAAGATGGTTGTGAATTGTTTGTGTTGTCATCACACACCTTGTATGAAAAATCTTGGACTTGATGCAACCACATTTTTTTCCTCAACATCATTTCCCTCATTTCTTCTGATTTAATTCATTGGAAGTGTTTCATCCATTTCTCGTTCCTCTATCAGCCGGGTGTTTCCCACAGGACAGAGGTGCATTCTCCCCAGCCATCTTCTGATTATAGTGAGAGAGAGGTCGGTGTGGGTGTTCTCACCTTTTGAGTTCATCCTTAAAGTCTGTACTGATCTTAGTCTAGTCCCTGTTGCCCAACATAAACTACGGTAGTCTCTCAGATCAGTATGAAGAAACCCTAAGAGCACCTTTCCTCTTTTATTTTATTTCAGTTTTTGAGGTTGTAGTGGTAGTTTTAGTCACACACAAGTAGGCACGTCTCATACAAAATGAAATGTTGAAAGTAGGAGTGGGCGATATGACCAAAATCTTATTTCACAATTTAAGTCATTTTATGTCACAATAATAATGATAAATATTACAATATAAACAATTGGACAAATACAATGAATCAATGACAGCAACATGTACAGTAGGTCTATGTGACAGTAGCATTCAAATAAGGAATACTACAGAAATTGAATCATCTAATGTAAAATTAAACACTGCATCGTCTTCGCTGTATGAATTAAATATACGCTATTTCTTAAGTTGCTCAGTCAAAAGCAGTGATTGCCTCTTCTTTTTTCTTTTTTCTTTTTTCTTCTTTCCTATTTTGACCTCTCAACCTTTATGCTAAGGAGAAAATCCAATGCAAGTTTGCAACAGCCACGCGTAAATGGTTAGTTTAACATACAAACGTTTTGCTCAACAACTAAGGCTGCATTTTAATTCACCTTAGTCAGGTATATATTTACACAGCATTTTGAAAAAAATATTATACGTTTTTTCTTTTTGATTAACAGATAGAACTCTATTAACTTCATCTGTAATGTGCTGCTAAGCTTCCTTTTTTTAGGACTTGATACGCTACTATGTATGTAGCCTACGCTTGAAAATACAATGTGGTGTTGGAAAGCACTTCTGATTATAAAACTTTGGTTTCTGCACCTGAGAAATTTTTCTTTTTCATTCGCTTTTGAGAAGACACGTCGAAATCCTTTGTTTTGGAGTCATAATATCCCATCCATAGTTGTCAGTCGGATTTAATGGGCGGGATGTATGGTAATTGAGAATGAGCATGCCATTTACGACTGATTGGAATTCATTAACACACACAGATTTCACTATCGGGAAGGTCTCTTTACGCTCAAATCACTCTCATATTTACTTGTATACTTACGAATGTTTCATGAATGAGACCGATTAACTCTGTTTAACATAATGCACATCACACTGTTTATTTTCTCATTCATGCATGCCGTTTTATCACTCTAACGTGTCAAAAAAATGTAAACAATCCTGTGTTACTCAGACATATTTGCATACTGCAATATAAACAATACAACGATGTCATTATTAAGAGACACTTCATATCGCTGCCTAAATATAATCATATCGCCCATCCCTAATTGAGAGTCATTAGAATGTAAAAAGAGCACAGAAACTGTCTGAGATGTCTCACAACATCCGTAGCCGCTCGCTGACTTCAACCAACTGAGCTAGTTCCCCGTGCATCAACCAGGTCATAATTATCATCATCTTTCATGCTCACTGATCCTTACTTTTTGTCCTCTCTCTGTTCCCAGCTGGGAGGAGACATCGGCGGAAGTCCTTCGGTAAGTCAGACAAAGAGTTTTAGCAAAGTTCACCCAGACTTTGATGAATGTGCTTCATCCGAGAAGCATTAGCATCAACAGAGGGGTTTGCCTTCATTAATCAAAGAGCTGTTAAATTCCGTTAATTTCTCTGCTAGCCTCTTTCCTGACGATAGAAAAGTTGTAATAGGTTGTAATGCTTGTCTCCCTCTGCTCAGATGGGTGCCGGTCTGGGGGTGGCCCCAACAGCCATGCCTGCTGCTCTCGGTGGTGCTCCTGCTGTTGGAGGTGGATTGGGTGACCTTTTTGACCTTGGTGGGGGTGTTGGCATGCCAACAGGATTCTACGTTGTTCCTAAAACTGTAAGTATAGAATCAATCAATATTCTCAATCAATAACTTTATGACTTCAGCAGTCTTTTATAAGCAGTTTAAGTCGATTTGTAATGCTGCAGCGTTTCCAGGACTTTTGGGGGCGTACACACACGAAGTGCTGTGGTGTTCAATAAAAGCTTGACATATTCCAACAGAATGCTGAGCACATTTTTTTTGTCTTAAAAGAAAAAAGAATTAGCTTAAAAATGCAACTCTTATGGAGCTGCTTAAAAAACAGCCATGTGCATGCATGTGTACACAGATAATGAGACAAACAAAAACACAGCCATCCTGTGTGTGTGCCCCTAGCTTTCTTTCCCTCACACTCCTAACCTGTTTATCTGTGTGTTCAGCTGTGGTTACCTGCAATGAAGGCTAAAGGACTCGAGATTTCTGGGACATTTGCCCGACGTGGTGGGATCATTCAGATGGATATGTCTCTCACCAACAAAGCCATGAGCGTCATGACTGACTTTGCCATTCAGTTCAACAGGAACAGGTGAGTTCAGAGGCAGAACGGGAGACTGGGATGCAGATTGTTTTGGAGGTCTCCTCAAGTATCTTTGTTTCTCAATCAGTTTGGAGACCTGACTGGAAAACATCATGATCATTTATACTGTTTGTCAGTGGGATCATTCAAGGACATGCTGATATTCTAAAGAGACTTTAATGTGTTTTCACATTGATTGAGGACTTCTGTCTAGAAAATTACTTCTCGTTTAATAAAGCCTGAATGTAGAATATTGTAATATATCTTTCCGCTATTACATGGGCTATTTATAGATTTTTAGAATGGTGCATTCTGACTGCCACAATGCTAGGCTGTTGTGAGAGAATTATTTATTAATTTATATAGTGCGTTTCCTATGTACTAGTGTGCAGCATCCAATTGGATGATGCGATGGCAGCCACAGTACAATGGCGCCAGTGCGCTCTCCACACACCAGCTATAGGTGGAAAGGAGAGAGAGAGACTGAGCCAATTCAGTTAATGGGGATTATTAGGGGGCCATGATTGATAAGGGCCATTAGAGGGAATGTGGCCAGGACATGTGTTTCTATGTAGTTGCTAAGGGTGGTTGATTTACTTGTCCAAGTTAAAAGCATACACCACTAAGTCTCTGATATGCATGCTGGAGGGTCCCTCTCAAAGTGTACATATTTAAACATTTGTTTTATCATCTGTTTTGAAACTCATTTACAGGTTGTGGAAGATAAAACTATTTTTTTTTTTATTTTGGCCTTACTGGTGATGCACACAAATTTTAGCAACCAAAAATAATCTGCCAAATTAGTTTTTAAGAGGGCTGAAATGATTGAGTGAAACAGTCTTCCTTTGACTATGTAAGTGTCTATTTTGTGCACACAACATGGATATGCTACAGTAAATATGTCAGCAGTGTGTACGCACTTCACCCTGACCAAAAATGATGCTAGATTAGCAAAAATGTTTTTGGTTAAGATGTTGAGAGGTGGCTCATTGCTGATGAACTTTACTCCAACTGGTGTATCAGCCTGAACAGCATACCGAGTTCAATTATCCAGTTACCCAAATTGAATGGAAACATTGTTTAATTTTATATAGATTTTTTTTAAATTATTTTTGTGTCAATAGTCTTAAATGTACACTGTAACCTTTGGCGCTCTAGCTGTTGAAAACAAACCTACATGCATTTTGCAGAAAAAACATTGTTTTAGTTCTGCGTCGGCTCTGCGTGACACTGCAAGATGAATGTGGTTCTTTTTCATAACTAAGAAAAGACAAAGATTATCCTACTTATCATAAAATATTTACTTCTATGGTTAAGAGAGATTACCAGTTTAGAGTGAAAGTTTCTAAAGCTGACTAGCTTAAAAAAAAAAAATCACATTTTATTACGAGCCCCTGTCGCATTCTCTTTCTGCCTGCAGACTCATCTCAGTTTAGTGTTTTTTTTATTTTTATAAATATAAAATTGGTGATTCTCCAGAGGTTTGAGGTTTAGCATGGTCCTTGTCAATCTTTCTCGCTCATTATGCCACTCGCACCACACATGCATCAAAGTAGCCGGAGAAACTTTTCTCTATTTTCGGATACGACGAGACACACACAGGCGAGTGACGCATGCAAGCAATTTCCAGGAAAAAATATCCTGCCTGGTCTAAAATTTAAACGCTTAATAGGCTTAGCATAGTGAGTCAGGGTAAGACAAAAACATGTTTTGGAAGAAGGATTAATGATGTCTTGAATCGTTATGTAAATTGTACAAAATAAAAAATGTTACATTTGTTTCTCTGTGTTTCTCTGCTTTTTTTTCTATAGTTTTGGTCTGGCCCCTGCTGGCCCTCTGCAGGTTTTGACTCCTCTGAGCCCCAATCAGACCATTGATGTCAGTCTGCCTCTCAGCACAAGCGGCCCCGTCATGAAAATGGAACCACTCAACAATCTGCAGGTAATGTTTCCACTGCATTTCTGCACCATTATACTTCACACAGGATAAAAAGAGTGTTGTGCTGTTACTCATTTCAAGATATAAAGTCATAAAGCAAGCCCCTAGTGAGCAGCCCCCCAAAAATCCACTCCAAAAACAGCAGGGACATTGAGTGTGGGTGGTTACAGACGGATGCAACTCAGATTCTGAGATTCTGTTAAAAAAAAAATCATCAGTGGTTCCCTTCGGCTGTTTGGTCACTCTCATTGCTTTTGTCAGATTTTCTCCCCCTGTCAATTCATCCATGTCCATTTCAGTCCTCTATTAATCAGGGTTGTAGGTCTGCAGTGGTGTACAGTAATAGGTCTGAATTAGCTGCACCTTATTATCTCTCTCAGTGGAGCATTCACATTGCTCTCCAGTGATTGCATTTGGGGAATAAATCACAAACCCCACAGACTACAAGGCACGGCATATGCATTGTGGAACAGAGAAATCACTAATTGGTTGTAATTAAACGGAGGGATAAAATTGTGTTGAGCTTTGGGGACTGTTTTGGTTGGATGAAGCAAATGAAAAATATAGAAAGTAGGAGTTCTCTCTGAGCCGCAACAAGATTAAAAGATAAGAAGATGTTTTTTTAATTGTAAGATTTTATGGAGCCCCCCAGGGTCCGACTTATTCCATTTTCAGATTAAATGCATCTATTGAGCTTTCCTGGAGAGACATCAGTGAGTGTCGTGTTCAGAATACACATTTTAGATGGGCATTAAGTGGTTCATCATAAATGAGTCTCTTTCACTTTCCACTCTGTGCTTATCATTGAAGTCATCAGCAGGGGATTTAGTGTTTGAGAGCTCAGGAAAATCACAGGTGGCAACATGAAGGACTGATGTAATATAATAATAATAATAATAATATATCTGAATATCAGGCAGCTCACAGATTCAGAACGTCCTGTTTGATCTGGATGTGCTTTGGCTTACCGTGCATTTTCAATCTTTTTATGCGTGGATTACAACAGCTGATATTTCCAGTCATAGAGAGGCTCATGGGCCATGGTGGCATTATTAATTTCACACGTGGCTGCCAATAATAGATCACTTATTCACTGTAATTGCATCACAGGAAGTGAATGTTACTCATAGACTGGTTGAAATACTTTTTTCTTTTCCTATTTATGAGGCCAATAACGCTGAAGATAAATCCAAACAGAAGAGGAACAGATTCTAGTAGTTCAACTCCTGACAATTACACACACAAAAAAATGATTTCTGATTTCACATTAGTTGGTACATTGTCTGTCTTTATATTATTTTACCTGGTGGTGCTATATAGTATTTTATCTGCAGTTAGACGAGGGAGGCTGGAACAAAGTCGGTGTGAGCAGCTCAGAGCGGTTTGGTTGGATGAATTATTCATAGGTGGAGTGTAGCAGGTATGGATGTCTAGTATGTGTAACATCCTGTCCCTCTCCAGGCCTGTGTAGTCTGTATTCTGATGGATGCTGTGCACCTGCTGTCAGCTTTTACAAAGCTCCCCTGGGTGCCTTTCAATCCCTCATGCTCTCAAACGATTTACAGCCATAATCAGATAAGAATTTGGTGGTGGTGTTTTTTTCCGCTGCAGTTGCACAAAAATGGAAACAACAACAGAAATGATTGGTTTTATTTAATCTGGTTTGATTTGTTTTAATGATGTGTTGTTCGTGGCCCCTCTGTTTTTGTCTCTTGCCTTAAGTCTGTGGTGCTGTTGGGTCAATTTTGACAGAAAGTTTACGTTTATCTTATTTTTATTTTTTACTTCATCGAAATGGTATAGTATGAAGCCGAAGGTTTTGGCACTTAACAAAAAAATAAATAAAATATGGACATTATTTGAGAAAGTTAAATGGTCCTGAAAAAAATAGACTCGCTTGTGTTGTTCATGGTGAAATGTGACGGCATTGGAAATGGGAGATGAATTTCATCTATTGGAAACATGTAGTACTGCACATAAACAAAATTGTACTGAAAGCTCATTTTGTGAGATCAACCTCAAATTTGGAACACAGCTGGTTTAGATCAATGGCTTTTACAGTTTTAAAGTAAAACGTGGTTTTGCAAAGTATACATTTCTTTTGAAAATTGAAAATGGTATTTTTGTGCATTTTTCATAACAAGATATGTAAAATGTTATATCTTTTTTCAGGTTTACTCTTTTTTTTTCAGTTAGAATGGTGAAACAATAATGTCAATTGTCATCTTTAAAAGGAGACCAAAGCATTTGAATTTTATGTCAGTTTAAGTAATGAAATACTATAATAATGAAATACTATAAATTCTCCTAAAAATACAAAATATTAATTTAAACAAAAAAACATGATTGAACTAAAATATAGAAAAATAAAAAAAACTCAATTATAATGATTTTTTTGTGTGAAAAACTCAATTATAATGTTTTGCTTCAAGAAACCTTGAGTTTTCACATTTATACAATAAAAATAATATAGACATTAATATAGAATATATTTCTAATTCACCAGGACAGGTGTTTTTGAGTCTGATTATCCAAGACAGATTCACTCACTCACTGTTTTCCTGAACTGTCAGTGGGCATCTTCCATCCTCTCGGTGAAGCACTGCCTCGGAGGTATTCGTGCATGTTTGAAGTTCACAAACTGGCGTGCAAATGTGAACTCCATGCACAGGAGCTGAACCCAACTCTGCAAGGCCACAGGGGGACTTAAACAAAAGAATGAAGAGAGAGATAGAAGCAAAATGTCAAAGAAAGATGATCAAAGGACCATCTTTCCCTACTATTCTGTGGTGTGTGTTTGTCATTCTTTGAAAGAACTTGGAGAGAGAGGCCCATTTACTACTGCAAAAATTATGGCCGCGTCCCGTCTGCTCTTAACAGGGTTTGAGTGCCTTGACCACTGCCACAGCATGTCTTAAATCACACTTGTAATGTGTTTCTCTCTCTCTCTCTGTCGGGGTTGCAGGTAGCTGTAAAGAATAACATTGACGTGTTCTACTTCAGCTGCCAATTTCCCATCAGCCTGCTCTTTGTAGAGGACGGAAAGATGGGTAAGTGTGTGTCTTTGTGTACCATTAATCTCTGCTGTGTCCTCTCAGGCATAAGCATAAGGGGATAAGTGCTTCAGGTGATTGTGACATCAATCCTTCAATCTTTTTTTTTTTGAGTGCGTTTGCTTTTGTTTTTTGTGTGGATATTGTTTTTATGTTTATGTCCATGGGAGTGTGAGCACATGTGCCAGATCTGTGTCCAAATGAGTGTGTTAGAGAGGATGTTCGTGGTTATGTGAAGAAGTTGGTGAGTGTGATAGAGACTACTTATGCATTGAAGACTTTCCGCTGGAGTCTCTTAAATGGAGTTCAGTCTCTGCAGGATATTATACAGATATGCATAGTGGCTGTGTCTGAAAAACCATGCCTTGGCTGCAGGCAGAATATAGAGTTAGGAAGGTATCCAGGCCCACTCGAATCCGTTCGGACTACCCATATGGGCATGTTGGCACGGCTCAAGTGGGACAGCTTGCAAGGTTGGAAATAAAACAAATTCTTATGGGTCCTTTTTCTTACTTTAAGTATAGAAATAAGTATCTATATTTTTAGACATGACAATGTGGTGCCTGATAACTTAAGAAGCCAGCCTGAAATCATTATGAACGTGTCCTTTTTCACTTTGCATCAAGGCAACCGCTTTCAGCATCAGACATAGCCAAACTGCATTCTTTTTCATTTTCTTCATTTTTTTTTTCACTGTTGTACTCCTTTTGTCCCTGTGCTCCTCAGAACGTCAGGTGTTCCTGGCCACCTGGAAGGATATTCCAAATGACAATGAGGCACAGTTCCAAATCAAAGACATCCATCTCAACTCAGGTAACAGGAATAAATATTTGCCTTGCATGAGTGAATTGGGTGGGTAGGCAGATGGAAAGGAGTGAAACGGAGGAAATGAAACAAATAAGCAAAGACAGGATGAAAGGAAGAGGTCTGCTCTACCCTTATCTGAGCTTTGTATTATTTTGACTGTCAGTCTGCGACAGTCTTAATGAACACACCGTCTTCTGATGAGGTCTGTCTCTGAAGAGCAGTGCTGATCCGGTGGCATGTCTGGGTGTAGTTAATTTAAGGCAGGTTTTTTGGGAATGATCCTCTTCCACATAACTGTTTGCATAAAATAATTTTGAATCACACAGGCATGAACATGCACACAAACTCTCAGTGGTATTACTAATGAATGCACAGTGGCTGTCTTTAGTGCTCTCTTTAAATATCTCTTCTTTTTTGACACTCTTTCTTTCTTCTATCCATGTGGCTTGAAAATTAAATATAGGTGTTTTGTGCATTGTTATATGAATCTTCTGCCCGCAGCAAAATATTTGTTTGTTATGCCAGATTTGAGATTGCGATTTAGATCAGAAGTCTTTGTTCTTTTGAACTTTATTCATCAAATTAATCATGGTTTCCACCCAAAATATTAAGCAGCACAACTGTTTTGAACATTGAAAATAATAAGAAATGTTTCTTGAGCACCAAATCAGCAAGTTCAAAGACAATATATTAAGATAGGATACAGTTAAAGGATAGAGTAAAACTGTTATTTTGCACATTGTGTCAAATAAGTACAGTCTTGGTGAGTATAATTGACTTCTCAGTCAACTGGTCACATCTGGTTCAAACTAATCTTTTGAGGTTAATTTTAGTGAATTGGTAAAACCAGGTATCATTTATAGTTGAGGTTATCGAGTTAACATCTCATTGTGCAGATTGATCATTTTGTTCCATGCATGACAAAGGCAACTTTCCACCAAGACATTCCACCTAAGATCTTTTGTTGAGTGAATTATTCTTTTACATCAGCCTAATTACTAACTGGTTCATATGACAACGCATAAGTAAAAATACACATTTGCAGTTGCCATAGAGACTCACTCAGGTTCCATTTGTCTTTAGAAAACCTGCTGTGTGCGTCTGTTTTGTCAATGAGTAACTTCTCTCTCCTCACAGACGCGGCCAGCAACAAGCTGCAAGGCAGTAATATCTTCACCATAGCCAAGAGAACAGTGGAGGGGCAGGACATGCTTTACCAGTCCATCAAACTCACCAATAGCATCTGGGTGCTGGCAGAAATGCGTGTGCAGACTGGAAACCCCAACTACACGGTAAATGAAAACACAGAGAGACCAAGGGTGTTGTTGTGACTTTTATAAGTATGTGAAGAGACTAGCAAAGTGCCACTCGAACACACACAGATCGATAAGGATGTGCTGGAGGAGACAGTCGGGCAGTCGCACGTGAGAGTGTGTGTTGCTCAGAACGACTCCCCTGTTACTTCCTAATGAGTCATACAGGAGAATAATTTGTGTTTGTGTGCACGCGTAAGAAAAGAAAAGGGTCAGAGGGGAAAGGAATGCTGGGAAAATCAAACACTGTCTCAAAACCTAACAAGCTGCATGTCTAAGTAGCATTTTTTTGGCATTAAAGATGCCTCATTGTCTAGTCAGGCTACAGCCATTGCATCCAGAGTAAGTGTTTGGTGAATCCTGGGTGGGTAAAGATAAGGACGGACGATTGTCAAGATGTCAATCCTCCTGCCAGTCCTTCCTCCTTTTGGTTTGTAGGATTTGCCATCATCACTCAGCCCAATATGGAGTGTACGCTGCTTCCCTCTCACGTTCCCTTTCCCATTTCCCATTCCCCACATGAATCAGGCCTCAAGGGCAATTTCTCTCAGATCACAAGTATACCTAGAATTGTAGTCCCCAGCATGCTTTATTCCCAGTAGCAGAATATGTACCCACCTGAGAGAATTAATTATCAATGCATCATACATTTACTTATTCTCCTTCAGTTCATTCAAGTGCAGCTTTTTCATCATAACATGCACATTTCTTTATTTCATCAGGATGTGCACTTTCCATGAATCGTGTACACATTGTGTGCCATTACTTTTCTTTTAATCAATGGCGGCACAAATTCAATGTTCTTTCACAGTAACCATCAGATATGTTACATAAACTATTATCTAACATAAAATAAATCGCATCAAATGCATCTAGCCCCTAATTTATGCTAAATATGCACCTGTGCCCATGTATCCTGTATTGAACCCTGTGATGAATGAGTATAATTTGTGTTTTGGTTTTCCTGTTTGATTTTGTTGTATTTTTTTCCCCCCTGTGTGTTTTTGCTCATCTCTCCACTCACCTTTGATGATGACATCACAATGAAGGAAATAGAGGTTGGGTGTTTTCCCCCAAAAATATGTCTTTTACACCTTGCTTCCTTTAAATGAGCATGACTCTTTCTTTTAGTTCCACGATCCCCAGTAAAACAGTAAAGTCCACTGAAACATAGCAGCATGTCGATAATAGTGGACACCACACTCATGCGACCTTCCATTAGAGCAACTGTTTTGAATGATCTAGCAAACCACAATATGAGGAATGCTGTAGAATTGTTCAAATTCATATATTTTCCAGTCCTTTTGTCATGATAGAAAAACATGGCATTACAGGAAGGCACCGAGATTGTGTGCATATAATTGTTTTCCAGATTTCATTCCAGGAAAAAAAATAATTGAATAGCCTTAATCAAAGGAGTTGCTCTTCAATGGGAACCCACCGACTCACGGCATGTGCTTTTAATGTGCACAAGTCTCACTCTCCTGCAATTTCTTCAGTGCTTTTAAGCGGCAACACTTCACCACTGCTGAATCTACACTGCCACCATAAAGAAATGGGAGATATGGGCTGCCAGTCTGAATTAAATGTGATGGGAAGAGAAGACAGAGTATTAGTTCTTCTCGTGGTTGCTTGCAAAAACAAGCGTATTGCATAACCAGTGTAGTCCGATTCTCGGGTAAATGACTCTTAGGCTGCATTTACACTGCAGGTCTTGATGCCCAAATCCGATTTTCTGACTATGTCCGATTTTTTTGGTGACCTGCTTACATCATCTTTTAAAAGTGACCCATATCCGATTTTTGCATTTACAGTATACACTGCTGAAACTACCAAATGCAGACGTTCTGACCCGGGAAATTAAGCAAAACAGCACGAAATTCAATGGATGCAGATGCAAATAAAATTATCCAGTGTTTTCTTTCCACAATATTTCAATAAGTCATCAAAACATTGGTCTCGTACGGCGGAGAAAAAAAGAGGAGAGGCTCTTGCCACAAGCACTTAAAACGATGCCTCATATCTCGTGAAATGTCTTCAAAAACGGATTTATTTCTGTAACGACCCTGCATTTTTGCCTGCACTCTTCATCCCAAACACTCAAAAGACATGAAACCTCCGCATTGCTCTACTGTGTGTATCCTTTCTTCCATCGCGCCTATAATCGCGCACTTTTTAATGACGTACGACTCGCATCACAGGGGAATATCCGATTTGTCTGCTTACATGGCACACGCAAATGCACGCATCCGATTCATATCCGATTTATTACCACATATGAATGAGGCCTGCGTTTTTTTCCTGCTTACACGTTCAGTGGTCATATCCGATCTGTGCCATATGACAGGAAAAAATCGGATTTGGGTCACTTGAACCATGCAGTGAAAACGAGGCCTTAGTCGCTTCTTTTAATGAATCGTTCAAGACAACTTGCAAACATTTTAATAAATATTTCACTAAATAAACTTGCAATGTTTGTTGTTAAATCTGACTGACCCATTTGAACCACAAGATATTAACTGTGCAAGAAGAGATTTCTGTAGGAAACTCTGACCCACAACACATCTGTATGTGTCTGCTAGTCTTCTTGCTCTTTCCTCACATTCTAACAGCCGCTTTAAGAGGCAGAAATGACAGCTCAGAAACACACAGTCCATGAATCATGGTTTTGTTTATGGCCGATGTGGCACATAAACAATATTTGTCTGAAAGGACAGAAAAATGTGGCCATGTATCTATACTGTTGTGTTTTCTAAATATCTAGCAATGTTTCTATTAGTTTCAAAGCTCTACAATTTGTCACTGTTCTCGGTCCCTATGGCAACCAGGCGTCCAATGGCACGGCCCGGTTCCCCTTTACACGTGGCAAGCATCTAATGGCAGGGATCTGTTAAAGCATTCCTCCACAGACCTCAATGTAGCACCCCGCTGCTTCCACTCTTCCTGTCTTCCCACCATCTCATCTGTTTTCATTTGCGCTTTGATTACATTCTTCCCTATTGTCGCAACCCGCTGCTATATCTCCAAGACTTCGAGTCACACCATCCTTGCTTCCTCCTTTTTGTGGTTTATGCCCACCACCCACCCGTGCAGTATCACTCTTTCTTTATTTTCCTCTCACTTTAGTCAAATTATAGAACAATGCAACCGTTAATAAAACGCCTCTGCATACAGGAAGCTGATGCCGTAGAGCAAGTCAGCACCAATGTTATCGCTGTGTCTGTGTGCGCACTCACGCCATTCTGAGTTAAAGCTAAGGGCAAATCCTCCAAAATCTGGTAGCTTGAAGTGGAGTAGACTGGGGTTTGATTGAAGGACATGCTCACTAATTCCTTGGTGTTCTCAGTTTATTCATTCAGCTAATTTAGATAGAGATAGAATAATTGTACACAAAATATTGATTTGATCTGTATACTAATATTTTAATAAGCTCACCAAACGCAAAACTTTGCCCTCATAAGTTACCCGGATGAGCGTGTTATCAGTTTTACCATTTGCTATCGGTGCGTAACACACCGCTGGACGGCGTGATAGACCAATCAGAATCAAGTATTCCAGTGAGCCGTGCAATAAAATGTTTTGATTACACTTTATTTTACTATGTCCTTGTTACATGTTATAATAGTAATAACTATAAATTATGCATAATTGCATGCAACCTAAACCTTGTAGTAAATGCATGTAGTTAATTATTACTCAGTACTTAAATGACACTCTAACACAGACACCTTCAAATAAAGGTGATAAACCAAGATGATAAATGCTGTTATTTTAAACTTTCAGTAAAAAGTTGTATAATGTATCATAAATATTCATTTCTGTGACACTGAAGACCAATGAAGGAGTAATGACTTCTGAAAATGATAAAATAACCAATAAATAAATAATAAATTACAAATTATTTATTATATATCGTTTTAATAATTCACACTATTACTGTTTTTACTAAATTGTTTATTAAATAAATGCAACCTTGGGTCTTTTATTATATTGTTGTGTGTGTGTGTGTATGTATCTGTACATCAGTTTACATTAAATCAACTGTGAAGTGTTTGGACAGAAACATACAAATGTGTTGCAACGTGCTTGGCAGGCACGGTGTTACGAGTCTCTAATATAGGCACTGATTGATTTATTTATTTATTTGAAGCCTCACAATCGCAAAAGCCCTGTGGAAAGCTACATGGTAATCTTATAGAAACCCAGAGAAAGAACTGTTGAGTTTGGTAGGGATAAATTGTGCCATTGATCTCTCCATCACGCTCATCTCTTTCCCTTTGGCACTTGTGATGTCCTATTGCGCTGTACCCACCGGCTTTCTGATTATCCTCTGTATGATTGGTCTGTGAGAAGCCTGGAGTCGGCTGCAGCGCTCACTTGACAGAGGAAGCAGGTGTCGAAGTAGATGGAGGTCTCCACTCAGGCCGACCTCTCCAAGCACACTTGCTCCTCTGACATTAGCCTGCATTTGTTTGTCTATTACTCCGTTAGTGCCATGTGAGATCCCTTTAGTAGGAATGGCTTTTTATGTGTCTCTCACCAAATAAACTCAGATTGCTTATGAATTTGCTATGGGTGGTTAGTTTCTATTGTTTCTCTAAAAAGAGTAAGAGCAGAATCATTCTATACCATTCAAACGTTTGAAAAAATAATATATATTATAATTAATAAATAATAAATAAAACATGCATTCTGTGTTAATAGATCCTAATATTGTGTGCTGATTTGGTGCTCAAAAAACATTTATTATCAATATTAAAAACAGTTGCGCTACTCTGATACCAGGATTCTTTGAATAAAAGTTCAAAAGAACAGCACTTTTGTAACATTATAAATATATTTACTGTCGCTTTTGATTCATTTATTGCTTGAATAAAAAATGTATTTACTTGAATAAAAGTCTTAATGATCCCATACTTTTCAATGATACTGTACTTATATGTGCAAGCGTATCTTTTAGGTTTAAGAGAGGTGGAGTACTGATGTGCTTTCAGACTTAAGGCAAATTGGAAGTGTTAGTTGTAAATTTAAAGCTTGTTATGGCGTAATTTTGTGTGTGTGTAGTTGCTCTGGCACATTGGAAGATTATTGTAATAGTGTGTTGGCAGGCTTTCAGCATTACTAATGTTTCCTAGTTTCTTTCACCTTCTTTTTCTTCACTTTGAAATGTCTTAATTTTCCTAGCATGCACTCAAATCTTCATACCTTAACATTTTTACGAAATGTAAATCAATGTTTGATACTTGCTAATGTGTCTCTCCTTTATTTGAATCTCTCTGTCTCTTTCCTCAGCTGTCGATAAAGTGCAGAGCGCCAGAGGTCTGTCAGTTTGTGTACCAGTGCTATGAGATGGTGCTGAAGAACTGAAATGGAGGGAACCAAGAGGAAACCGCAGGTCCTGGGCATCGTTTGGGTGACTGAAAACTTGATTGGACCGGTCAGAGAAAACAAAAACCCACTGTCTTGCATTTCCCTCAGACTGTGCTTTTAGCATTGACTGAATCCCAAGGAATTTTTCTTCATTATTTTGTCCATTCCCAAGACCCTTCTTTGTCCCTCCTGTTTCCACCCTTTAGTCGTAAAATCTCTCTCTAAAATGTGACAAAACACAAAATATAAAATATCATCTTTATTCCACACATACATTATGTGTATTCTGGCTGCTTGTTTTTCCCCCTCATGGAGGGCAGAGATCGTGTGCAGAAGATCTCAGAGTTTCCTGTATTCGTCATTCATCCAATGGTGGGAAGGGTATGTTTACTACAGTTGAGAGAAACCTTTCAACACTGCTGTTTTTAATTTAGTCTTCATAATCAGACGATGGGCCACTTGGTTTGTGTGAGTCGTTGAGGTTCAAATATGGATTTATTTATTTAATTCTGTTTTAGTAACGCTCGTCTCCCATATTTCATTATTAATTTCACACAATTTATTTTAAGGGAATGCTGTGTTTATCCAGAAGCACTACACAAATGCTGAGTAAACTTTTTTTGGTCTCCAGATTATGTCTGTATTTTGTGACCAAGATCGTTTTATTAAGTTGGGTTTATTTTCTGTCTTTTGTGTTCTGTGTACCAGTTTGTGTGTGTGATTTGGAGATGCAACATTCTGCATGTTTTGTTCCCTCTTCTGCAAATCTTCCCTGTCCTTCCTCATTCCTGTGTTTGTGTCTGTGTACATGCCCACATATTCGGAGACTTGTCAATTCAGTGTGTGTGAGTTTTATTCCAAGGAGGATAAACTGCTGAATCTGTGAGGAGACTTGACTCCAAAGATCATTCTGCAGAAAACGATTATTGTATGAATATCTCATATCACACTGAACACAATGCATCTGGAGTCTCATGCTTTGCAAAGCTACTTGTTCGTCAGACATGTTTCTTCTCTCATTCTTTATGGGACTTGAAAGCTCTACACCCATGTGATGTTTCATTTTGTTTTTAAAACCATATTGGCAAGGGTGATCAGACCTCTCTCTCTCTCAAGCTTAATGTAAAATACATACCACCACCAGATGACTTAACACTGCTGATCTGACACACGTAATGCTGTGCGTGTACACTTTCCAAATAATATTGATTATTGTTTTTCTTTTAATTATAGTTTTTGTTGATTTCTTTATGTATGTTTTATTCTGTTGGATTTAGTCATAGGGTGACTTCACGGAGATTTCCAGCAAAGAAATTTGCTTTAGTTTTTGTTTGATTCTGTCATAAATGCATCATGTGTTAAGGAAATTAAAAAGTATATAACCTATTGATTTAAAGTGTAATTATTCCAGCCTGGTTTTAAGGTAAAAATAAATAAATGAAATGTGAATTATGACCATTCTTGAAACTCTTAATAACTTGGCTGAAAATCCTTAAACAATGTGTAATATCTTTGCAAAAGTTTATGCAATTGTCTTTGACTGCTTCAGTTATAGTCTAACCCACCTTGTTTTATTCATTAATAATCTTCAAATAAAACGGGCATCATGCTGCAAACCATTTAAACTGCAAAATATAACCTTTTTATATATGCAGGGAAAATTTCGAAGTAAGTGTGAAATTCTGGGGGAGCAAGCTGAGCCTGTATCACATCTAATGACATTTTAACAAGTAAAGTAAGTAGGCGGAGGTTGAATAGGTTTCAGGAAATGTCGTTTATTATCGTTTCCAGGCATGTATCATCCAGTTATTCACTAAAACAACTCCATAGTTGGTTATTACTCATAATAATTGGTTGTAGTGTGTAGTTCCATAGTGCTTACTTCTGTTATGTTTTTCCCCCGTTTTATTCTCTTTCCAATCGTTGATGGGTATGAACACCCCTTTCATTCAGTCTGATTTTAACCCTTGTTAAACTCATGTTTAAGCACAATTACCTCTTTGGGTTGACTACCCTGGTGATGAAATTACATTGCAATGTAGTCATATAGGAGCTGGGGGCCTCGTGTGTATCCAACCATATAATTCAGTGGAAGTGCAATCATAAACCAAGCCTGAAGTGCAATTTGAATCTGCTAGGGACACGATGTTTGGATTGTTATCTATTGCTTATAAAAAGAACTCAGTCTCTAGCCTAGCAATCGATCACTGGCGTTAAATTGATATTACTGTTGCATTGTGTGCATATTGACAATTTGAGAACTGCTGTGTCCGGTTTAACACGTCATTAAAATATGGACTGAGAGGACAAACCCCCAGAGAAATTAATCTTTCTTGAGTAAATCAAATTGGACTAATGGGTGAATGTATTCCAGTTATTAATCCAGATATCATTAGATTATTACGCCCCATGCTATTCTGAACTTCTATTACCCAAAAGCTCCTCATCCGGATTAGAGAGATCGTGAGAATATATTCCTGTAGATGACAAAGTAGATTTGTAGAGAGTTAATCACAACTTTATGTACTTACTCGAATTGTGTCTTAAGTTCCTGCATTTTCTCTTCCGAGCGGAAGAGTTGTGTGGTGCGAATTTGAGAAGCGGTTTTTGAAAGACTCTTCATCGTGGCTTAAGGTGCGGTTTTGATATTGTGCTGAATACCAGTACTTTTTATTGTTTACTAAACATATTGGGATTAACACTACATTTTCACCTTGTATTCCTCCAACAATGCAAGTAAATTCGGGATGTGACACGCGAGGCACCTTTTAGAGCGGGTTATAGCCAGAAAACATTAGCGCGAGCCTAATAAAACAGCCATGAATGCGCGCGCGTCAAACTGAACCACATGAGTGCGCGCGGAGGATCGGGGCTTATAACAGCCTACAACACATGAGGGTGAATGCTTCGGTGTAGCTTCAACGAGAGGTCTGTGCGGATAAAGTCCACCTGCTACAATCTTACGGAGCTTAACGATGGACCTATTTGCGCAGACTGCATTTGGCTTGCGGTGAGGTTCACGATAAAGCGAGCACTCATGCGCTCGCGCAGCACCCACTGCTGAAATGATGTGGGAAGGAATGAGAGGTTACGAGGAGAAAGGGTCAATGGTAACCTCGAGATCGAAGAGTACACACAATCAAGAGAGCAGTCGGATCGATAGTGTTGGATACTGTTGACGTTTTCGAGCTCCAGAGCTGTGTGTGGGAATACTGGGAATACAGTGGAGCACTGAGGGACTGTTCCCCAATGGAATGCAGAGAAGGCAGCGCAACTGCCGCAGTGACTGAAGTTGGTTTGTTGATCCATTCAATAACGGATATGCTGCCAACAGGCTATTTCAGCAAAAGAGATAACGAAATGTACCAGAAGACAGAGGATCTGTGAGCAACTCTTATTTATTTCAACATCCACGAAGTGTGTTCTCGTGCTGTATGCATACATAAAAAGACGCACGCTCACAATTCATATGACTTGTTTTGATTTGTTGAGCAGTTTTCCAGGTGTCTTGATCAATAGTCGTCGTCTGCAGTCCTGATCTGGTCCTGATCCGCGCGGGATGGTCGAGACGCTGAGCATCGCCGTCATCGGAGCGCCTGGAGTCGGGAAAACTTCTATCATCCGTCAATTTATTTACAATGACTTCTCTGAGACTTACAATCCAACCCATGCGAGATACGTGTACAGACCCTCGGCCATTCTTAACGGTGTTATGTACGACCTGAAGATTTTGGATGTCCCGCCAATTTCCTCCTTTCCTTCAAGCCCTAGTCAGGTAACTTAACTTAGTAACAAAGTGCTGGATGCGTAAACACAGGCATTAAGTGATTAATTATAGTATGAACATTAATTAAACAACATAAAATGTAGAATAAACACATGAACTAATGTATTCAACAGATTAAACATAATATGTTTCTTTGTAGCAGCTAGGCGACATAATGTCTTGTTGAATAGGCTGCCTAGATTTTAAACGTAAATGATGAGGTCATTCAACCTTTTCATTCCACATTTTACATTTAGGCCTACATGTAGTCTCGTTTAAATATATTGAAATATTTCCCACATATATGCTAAGTTTATTAAAACGTTTAGCAATTTTGGGCATAGCATACGCTAGTCATGTGGCTGTACATGGAAAATTGAGATGCCACAAATTAGCCTAGTCATTTGATCACTGGATTCAACATCATCACATATCAAATCAACTCCTGACGAACACTTTGTCATGCAATTATTGTAATTTTTATTATTTTAAAATTTATTATTTTCAATTTGAATTTTTTATGATTTAGCCTATTTAGGCCCAATTATTATCTTTTCAGTAAACTCAAGAACCCCTATTTGGTAAATCCTGGCGTAATTTAATCCACTTCATGTTGTTGATAATAAAGAATAGAATAGCTTATATTTTCTTTCTCTTTGTATTGCAAATGGTGCAACGTGACAAATGAGTTAGGTCAAAATTATCTAAAAGTAGGCTAATCAAAAAGTATGGTCAGATTATATTACCTAAAATGTGTAATGTAATGGGTTATGTTGCTAATTGCACTGTTACTTTTTTCTTTACTTTTTTTACTGCATGCGTACAATCCATATCACGTGATGAATCTGTAGAAATGTGGTTAAAGGGTCACTCCAACTCTGGAAAGATGAATGTGTTTAAAATGTGTAATTTATGTAGAAGAAATGTGAAATTAGTTTTGAATTTGGAGCTTTCTTGGCTGAGAAAAGACAGAAAATGTATTTTTGGCTTATGTGGATGAAAGACAACAACTCCCAGAATGCACTTGAGTCTCCGTGATGAGTCTGCCCGAAAATGTGTTTCGAGATAGCCCAAAATGTCCAGGATTCGGCTTTTGTGTTCTACAATCGTCATTCATCATGTTTACTGTGGTGAGCAGGACGAGTGAGGGCCGTGTGGAAAACGACGTGAGGCCGATGGCATGAGTACCGATGAGCGACAGCTTTGAGACATAATTTACCGGTCTCCGGTCTCGTATCTCTCACGGAGGAGCGGGAATTTTCTTAGCAATGTTAAAACGCACATCAACCGATCAACTGTTTAGCGTTCATGTAAACACTACATTGAAATTACGATTTTTGTCATTTTGTCATTGTAGGATGAAGTGAAAAGGGTAAATAGCATATTTCTCTCAGTCTTGCATGACCATTCAATAGGCTTGGGCACTGAGTTGCATTGTGGGACGTGGCAGCCATGTTGGCAGCTTCGCAAATGTAAACATACCAGCAAGTCGAACGAGGAGAAGTAGCTGAGTTGGGAGAAAGAAAATTAAAAAAATGTTAAAATCCCTAAACGGATGCGGAATTTACCGGGATACGTTTAATAGGGAAACCAGGGACCGGTATGTGGATAAAACGGCACTTTTAACGGGTTGGGTTAATTTGAAATTTCCAACAAACAATGGGAGCACAGTACGTTACGCTAACTTAATCCGGACAAAGGTAAACTGCGCTCCACCTAGCTGCTAGTTAAGTATTAGTTATACTGCTGCTAACAACCATTCACACATGTAACATACTTTTAACTATGTGTTTCAAAAGTGTAGTTAGTAACGTTAGCTGTTTTAAGCAGTTAGTAAGCTAAACGATGCTTAAAGCAAGAGGGTAGCAACAGGACAACAGAGGCTGACAGGTCCGATTAAAGGGCTAATGTTAATGTTATGAGAATATTAAAATGCGGGATATTTTACAGGAAAATACTAAAACGGGAAGACAGCGGGAAAAGAGATCAAGTACATGAGAAACCCTGAAAAAAATGTGAGGGTTGACAGCTAACGTTACTAACTATCTGTCCGGATTACTGTGTTCCCACTGTTTGCCGACTCTTTGTTGGAAATTTTATATGATCCAAACCGTTAAAAGTGCCGGTTTAGTCCATATACCAGTCACTGGCTTCCATATTTAACATATCCCGGTAAATTCCACAACCTTTTAGGGATTTTAACATCTTTTTTTCTTTTCTTTATCCCAACTCAGCTGCTTGTCCTCGTTCGACTTGCTGTATGTTTACATGCGCGAAGCTGCCAACATGGCCGCCACACCAGTAATGACGTCACGACACCCAAGCCCATAGTATACTGGTTAACAATACATAGTTAACTGGGTTTCTAACAATGGAAAGCTTAAAGTCCCCGTGAAATCAAAATTGAACCTATTTACTTTGTTAGCGCATATTGCTAGTCTTGTGGTGAACAATTAATCCGTGCAAGTGAATATATATTAAAAAAATGTTTTACCTTAGTAATCTTTAATCAAAATCTGAAAAGTTACTTCCGGTCTGGAACGGTTTCTTTTTCTGATGACGTAGGCTTCACAGTTTGGGTGGGGAAACGCATAACCACTCCCCTCAAACCGTTAGTTTGCTATGAGCGAGAGATGGAGAGGAGGAGCGCTAGAGTAAAACCCTGCCCTCTGTTCAATATTCCGTTTCACTTGGAAATACGTCACTGCACTGGAGAAAAATCGTTTGCAACTTCCGGTTCACGGGGACTTTAATGAAAATGGGTGGAGTGGCCCTTTAAGTTTTAGGGAACAGTGGAAGAGTTTTATTAATGAATTGTAAAATTTCCTCTCAAAAATATGCCATTTTTTTAGTGATGGAAATATGTCTCATGTTATAAAGGTTCAGGAGCCTGTTTTTAATGGTAAATTGATTCTTAATCCACCAGTTTGACCTTGCACCCTTAAACCGTCACTGGCATGCAATTATTTATAATTCACTCTTTCCAATCCTTGAAAAAAAGTTTTGTTTTTTGTTCTTTTTAATCATATCGAAGTGAATCTTTTACAGATCTATAAATAGACAGAGATTCCAGGGGAATGTTATTGTATTGCTTCAGGAGAAAGGGGGTTTCCTCAGGAAAAAAAATATATCTCATTTTGGAGTAGTTGCTATGGAGACATGACTTGAACTGAGCATCTGTAAGCTTATTTTCTGTATCCTCCCTCTGGCAAATATTTCTCTCCCTCTCCCTGTCCTCCCCCATCTCTCCCTCTCATCTTTCTCTCTCTGTCACATATAACAGTCTTGGCATTTAAAGCACCCATACAATTATGCTTGTTAGAAGATCCTCAAATTGGCAATGTTTTGAAATAATCCACACTGGCAAAATAATCTATTTTGTTAATTAAGCATCAGGACTAGTCATTTTACCAATGCATCTTCAGGTGAGGTTCTTGCGTCACTTGAATTTTCTGTTGAAACCACCAACATATTCTGTCAGTCACCTGTAGCATGAAATACTTGTAGTGCTTTGCCCAATCCTTCACTTTTGCCACTGGTTCTAACCTCAACTGATTGCAATTTTCATTTTTCGGGCTTGATTAGCTGTTTGATGTGTGCATGATTGGAGTTGACAACAAACCACAGGAAGGTAGATCTTTAGAAGAACACATCCTCTAAGAAGTTAAATGTAATCAATTTGTGCTATCATAATTTACATCAGTTTTAAATGTATTCATTTTGAAGATGTTTTGATTTATCCAGAACAATTTACAAATCAAAATAATTCAAGCATGCAATTAATCCAAGTAGTGCTACAAATAGCTAAATACCAGAGTATTGCAATGCTAGAGTCTTCAAATCCTTACAAATCCAGACAAATCATTGCCGCTCAATTCTTAATACTATCAGAAACTCTCTACATGCAAGACCGTCTCTTCAGAGCAAAATCCAGAATACTGCCCTTTTCAAGGAATATGATCTAGTTCAATTTTGACCGTTTTAGGATTTAAATTGTGGTTATTCAATATCGAATATCGGTTATTCAATATCGAAATATCGATTTTTTTGAGAAATGCTAATGGTCTTGTGCACTTCAATTATGTATGCTAAGCTATGCTAAAAGTGGTATCGCCAGAACCGAAGATCGGTTGAATGGATTCAATAACGGTAAAACTCAACAGTTTAACCCTGGGGGAGTTGTAAAATGAGCCTATTTCCAAAAAAAAGTGGAGTATCCCTTTAAGCTAATTTTACTTCAAGACCAAATGCACGGATCTGACACGCATCCGATTTTTTCCCAACGGTTTACACTTCCCAGAGTTTTTATTTGATCCCAGTTAAGACTGTGCTTACGAGGAAGCTTTTAGTCGTCCGTTTAAGCTTTAAAAGCTGTTTTTGTAAGCTTTATATTCACTGAACATGCAGACATACTTTAGGCAGAGGTCTAGTGTTTCCCTAGACCTCTCTCCCTTTAGGTTTGTCAGCATCTGAAAGATTCTGTGAGGTTAACAGAATGCAAAATGCAACTTGTCAGGGTTTTTTTTCACCTTATTTTTCTTGGAAGTACTTTAGAGTAAATGCCCTGGATCGTGACCACTTCACAAAACAAAAAGACCCACTCCAGACAGAGACCACCAAGGTCACCCCGGCAACAAGTGATTCTGTTGATTGTTGCTTGGTTCTTCATTGCATTGACGACAGTGAAAATACAATGAAAAATGAATATAATTATAGACTGGAGATATTATTATATACAAGGGATGGATCCGTATAGGTGGTGCCAGGGAATCAGAATCAGTGTAAGTGGTTTTGATGTCATGTCAGCAAAATGTAATTTAAAAAATCATGAACATGTTTGGGGAGTTGGGCATTACTTTCAGTTCTCACAGCATGTTAAGACACTGCAATCTCGCCGACCCCTCCCCCAAAATGGCCATTGTCCTATCACAGATCAAAGCTACTGTTACTATGTGAGCAGGTCCGTCAAACATTGACTCATTTAGATATTTCAGACTATGTATGTTTAGTTATGGTAACAACGGCTATTATCAAAGTCATTTTCAAGGAAAGTCTATTCCCCTCGGCGGCCTTATTTGCAATGCCTCCGGGCAGCTATTTCAGTCATCCAAGACCAAGTCCTATATCTATTTGAATGGGGGAATCCTGAAATCTTGCTTGCTAAACTCACAATTAAGTAACATATTTCGAATCAGCAAGAAAATCTAACTTGAACTGTACCCTAAATGTTGTTTCTTATGCTCAAGTAGCAATAAAAAAAGCTTGTTTTTCAGGCTGGACCAGCCAATGCGCATATAAACGCGAGTCTCAGGTTTCTATGGGAACCGGAGCGTCAGCTATCAGTGATTGGCTTTTTTATTCAGAAGGTGGGATGTATTCCACCATGTTGCATTTTGCAGTTTCTCCTATTCATAAATAAAAGGAGTGAGCCATCTTTCTATATCTATAGTCTTTGCTATTACTTAATGGTTTGTCAGAATACTCTATTCTGATTGGCTGTTAGGTGTAATGCACAGGTAGTTTCCAGTCAGTTTAAGCACGTTCAATATTAAAGAGCTGCTTTCATTGAAAGGCGCACACACATTAATTTATATATTAATTTTTTTTCCTCCAACTATGACAGACCTGTTTAGTTATGGTTAAGTTACCATAATACCAATTCTCAATTCTGATTGGCTGGAAGGTGTGCATTCAAACTGTGTAATGCACAGATTGTTCCAGTTTAATGACAGTTCTATAAAGCACTCCTTTTATTGAAACACACACACACACACACACACATCAATCGCATAGAGAGATGGGAGATTGTGCTGTGCACGCAAAGAAACAGAAACATCTGCTTTATGTCGGGTGGTTCTTTGCCTCCACATTGTGCATAAAAATCATCTTATGCACACCAAGCTGTGGATTGTCCTCGGCATGTTCAATACTAAAATACTCTAAAAAATGCTAGACCCTCACATCTCCCTATACTCCATGTACTCTAAATCTCTGTGCATAGTAGTTTCACCCAGAACTGCTGAGATTTATTGTATGGACAACTGTGAATAATAATTTTTGACTGCTTGGCAAATTTGGTAAGTGAATGTCACAGTTTGTTCACATGATGCCATGGCAGATGGATCAGATCAAAAGCCAGCATGATTCAGGATTTCCTATTAATCCTCTAGTTCTCTGTGAGCTCAGTAACACATTCCCCCATATCTGCAGCACTTGCTTGATCATGTAATGGTCCTCAGAATGTGATAGAATAAATTTTTCCCAGATTTTGGTTGCTCTTTTAGCCAGTGGAGTTTAGGAATATTAAATTTGGATTTTGTGTTCCCTGATCCGTGCTCTGACACGACTGATTCTCAATGGCTGTAAGGTCTCGTTTCATTTAGATCTGGGTTGTCACTTAGTGGCTTTGAAATTGACACTGCCAACTCTCATTTTGGGAATACTCTTTATTGACATTGACTTTTCATTCCTTTCTCTTCCTTTTATTCTATTGGTTCTCGCTTTTCCTCTCAACTACAGTGTCTATTTCAATCCTTTGATAAGGGTGATTTGTGATTTGAAAGATAATTTTGTTTCTTAAACAATGAGCTAGAGTGAGATTTCTCAAGCTTTTGCCATTTTAAATTCATGACTTTAAAACAAGCGCAATTCAGCACTGGGTTGTCTCAAGTACAGATGTTCTCATTATTTTCGTCACGCCTGAAAAGTGTAATCGCTAATTTAGGATGCGTAGTCATACATCACAGTGTCAGTGAGTAGTAAAAAAAAGAAGCCATTACAATATATCTAGCTGTACACCGCAGCATAAAATAATTCAGTAATTATACCATCAATTATCAGGGACTGAGTCACAAATAAAGATGATGCGTAATGATGTGGCATGTAATGATTTAACTGAGGTGAACATTTATTTGTCTAAGTGCTTTTCTGGATTAATTTTACTTCAACATTTGGCACCACTGTATATAATCTGACTGCTTAATATATAAATGAATGCTGTGCTGCAAGTATTTGTTTGCCCTTCAGTCAAGGATAAACAGGTGGCTTTGAAAGAAAGATTCAACATTAGGTGAGAAAAATCAATGCTTATGCTGTTGGAAAAAAATGAATTTTGGTCTACTCCTTTATTTAAACTTTATTAAGCTAGGGTAGGCAATTTTGGAGAGGCTAGCAATAGCAAGCTAGCTTTGAAAGCATAAGTTCCCACCCTCCATTCAGAGTGTCTACAAAGCCACATCTCCTCCAAAACACAGCCAGAGCAGATTCTGACGCCATTAAATTACCTCATGTCGCAAAGCACATAACATAACGCAGATTAATTTCGGCATTGATAATGTTGATATAGCACATCACAGGTTTCCATATTTTTATTATGGAAGTTACGACATAGTGTGAAAGAACATAAGCTTGTTGGTTTGGTTCAGAAGGGAACTGTAAAATACTGCTGCTGTTTGTTTGTGGCGCTCAGTGAATCTCTGTCTACAACTCTGTGTAGCCTTAAGGTAGGTGCTGATGATGCGTGATGTCTGTTCGAGCAGGTGCGGAGTTATGCAAATACATTGGTTGATAGGCAGGTGTATTATATATGCATAATTTCATTCGGACCAAATGCAATGATTGGACAAACATTTTTTGGTTCTGAGACTTCCACAGAAGTTATATGTAAATTTTTTGCATTTTTATATGACTTTATTTATATTATAAAATTATATTTAAAAAAATTATATAACTATATCAAATTTTAAAATAATATCAAAAATAAAACATTATGAACTACATTTTTTAATTCTTTCTTGCTCCTATTTTAGCCTAACAATAGTATCTCTCCGAGGAGAACATCAAACACGCACACGGATCAGATCACATGTTTTCGTGAACTCACTTGGCAGCTTTCAGCAGCACAGTTACCCATTCAGCATTTTCCAGTGGACGTCTTCCAAAGTCCCAGAGATCTGTTTTCTTAAAGCGGATACCTTCCTTGCCCAGATGAGAATGCTGAATCATGATGAAAGTGAATTTGAATGTGTCCTCTCTCTAACTCACACTCACAGGGAAGAACGGCAATGTGGCTTGAAAAAGGAGAGAGAGACAGACAAGCTTCTATTTTTAGCTTTCACAGGGATGGCAGCGCATCTGAAACATCTAACAGGCACACTGAGGGAGCGTTTATGTCAGAACAGTGCTCCACGGAAAAGACCGGAAGCTTTAAGGCTCATGCTTAATTGACAGGAATTGGTCTTGCACTCTAGCCTCCATAGTTAATGCCCAAAACCAGTGTAGATAATTGCTTCAATCTACCAATGATCACTGAGCTCGAACTCCATTAAATCTCTTAGAATATTGAGTTTGTGCTTAATAAGGTCTGAGAACTGTCATATTTCAGTGGAGACGGAGGGTAAGGGATTTTGATATGCTTTTTGATTTGAAATGGGGGAGGGGGGGCTTATTCAGCATCTGACAAGGACTAAAGCTAAAGAAACACAATTTCTCTCCCCTCCTATACTTTTAGTTTTATAGAAGATCAATCAGAAACTGGAGAGTGTGATAAGAATCCAGAAAGGGATTCGATTTACTGTTTTTTTGTGAACAAAAAGTCTCTACAATGCAAGTCAGTGAGGTTCAAATGCTGTTTGTTTTGTGACCCATCATTGCTGACACCTTAAGTCATACAGTTTTGGATTAACATGATTGAGGGCGAATGATAATAAAGGTGAATTTTCATTTTCAATTGAAATATCCCGTCTCACTTGTCGTTTTATGCTATAATGATTTTATCTGCACGTTTAGTTGCTGTTATTATTACACTAATGTGATTTTGAATCTGAATCTGAAAGCATCAGAGGGGTCATCTCTGAGTGTAAATATTAGCAGTGTTCTCCTTTTCTAACATCGGGAAAGGATGAAGGTAATTATTCCCCTGTCAAGACGAATGCGCAAACACTGTCTTTGCTACAGTTGACATCGATTTCCTTTACTGGCAGGATCAGCTTGTGACGAATGGGTTCAATTTGAATTCCTCCTCTCACTCGATTTTTCTTATGCTCAACCCCAACACACACACTCCCACAAATGCAGATCACAATCAATATGGCAATTAAAGGATCTACTGGAATTTCACCAATTTCTAGCTCTATCCAGTACAATCACTGATTCTTTAGAGTTTAGTTCATATATGTTGTGTGAATAGTCTTGTGACTTTTTTTTTATTTTTATTTGTAGCAGTTTTTTATACAACACAAAACTCAAAAAATGTTTACAGAAAGATTGTTATACATAAAATAAAATAAAACTAAACAAACAGCCCCCACCCACCCCCACACCAATAGTCTTGTGACTTTTGACAGCATGAAGTCTGGTCCTTTTTTAAGCTTAAGTTACGATCACAGTGTTTTGCATTGACGTGTATTTAAAGTCAGCATGAAATGGAAATTGTGATCATATTTTCTTCCCTATTGTGATTATATATTCAAATGAAACAAAAAGTATAGTGAGACTTGATTTAGTCCATTGATTGGATTGTTTTTGTCATGTGATTGATATATTAATGGAGGTGAGAGGGTTTTGACAACATTAGAAATGAGATGATGTTGTGAGGGGGAGGGGAAAAACATTTTTTAAATAATGATGAATAAATTATTTATAATAAACAATGCAATATTCCATTAAAAATAAGAAGAATTAGAGTAATAAAAATATCCAGTTTTTGGGGACTTTAATAGCATGTGACTCTCATACAATCCAGGTCTAACAGTAGTTGAGGCGCTACTGTACATACAAATAATCAAAGTCAAACACAAAATGTTGAACATTTATTGTTGTACAATATTCACTAAAAATGCACGCCAATGCAGATCATGTTAAAATCCTTCAAATATCATAGAATACAATATTGAATGTACATCTGATGGTGTAAATGAATAGTGGAATTGATATTTAGTTTCATTTCATAAGAGCTCCCTATAAAAGAGGGGAAGGAGGGAGAATGGAGCTGAGCTCAGTGTGTCACTGTTGAAGAAATTTGCTCGCTGCCTCTTTCAGCTGTCCCTCATTCGGTGATATGTAATTACTCTGGGTAAATCATTACTATTCATTGGCTGCAACCTTACCAGTTCTCCCCCAGTCTATTGAGCTAATGAGAATGGCCACTATAACACACCAGCATACAAACGACAACACGCACACCCCTGAGTGCATGTGGTGCTCTCAATACCTTGGTCAGAGTATAGATAGCTGCCATTAGGAAACAAAGAAAACTGTTGTACAAAGAAATGTGATTCGACATAAATTTGTGCTATTTTCTTTACCTGTTCAGGCCTCTTTCATGATTAGCAGCAGAGAACTAGTGCTGCATTAATTAAAGGTTTGTTCAAAACCTAAATCGAACTTTTCACATTATGAAATCAATGTTTTTTCTCCAAAACACGTTGGAAACAATTATTTGCCCCCTTTTATTATATGCATTTTGCAACCTCCTTTTTCCAATATAACATCTCTGAGTCTTCTTGCCTGATGAGTTTGGAGAACACCTGACAAAAGATCAGAGTCCATTCCTCCATACAGAATCTCTCCACATCCTTCAGATTCCCAGATCCATGTTGGTGCTTCTTCTCTTCAGTTCACCCCACTCGTTTTCAATAGGGTTCCACTCTGGAGACTGGGATGGCCATTGCAGATGCTTGTTTTTGTGCTCAGTTACACATTTTTGCGTTGATTTTGATGTTGTTTTTTGGATCACTGTTCTGTTGGAAGATCTAAACTTGGCCTGTTATTAGATTTCTACCATAGGCTGTCAGGTTTTGATTTTGTATCTGTTGGTATTTGATCGAATCCATGATGCCATGTACGGTATCTGAACAAGATGTCCAAGAAAATTAGGCCCACAGCATTAAAGATACAGCAGAATATTTAATTTTACACAGGGGTTACTTTTATATCCCCCCAAACCCATAATAAGTGTTTGCTGCCAAAAAGCTCTTTTCTTTTCATCAGAGATCAGGTAAAACCCACAGATACTTGTTCATTGGTTCTCAGTGACTCCTCATATTAATGGCTTGATAGTGATCATCGCCCTCAGCGGTGAACCATTGAACTATTGAAGTGTTTCGAAACGTTCCGAAACAGTTATGACGTAATGAATCCCCATTTACTGAAATCATGTGACTCTGGCACTTTCATACATGTGCCATTGATTCGGAACAAAAGATTTGTAAAGGTTTCGGAGCTTCATGAAGCAGTGTTTTGAAATTGCCATCACTAGTTTTGCTGTTCCCCTACACTGTAAAAAAGTATTGTTGGTTTAACTTAAAAAATTAAGTAACCTGGTTGCCTTAATTTTAAGTTGATTGAACTGGAAAAAGTAAGTTAAAACAATAAAGGAGATTGATTCAATCATCAGAAACTTAAAATAATAAGTTATCTGAACTAAATAAATTATTTAAAAAATCTGATAAATCTTGAAATAATTTTTTTACAGTGATATTTCTCTGTTTGCCTGTTCCTTGCCTTTCATTGTTTGGACTGTTTACCCTGTGCTTCCCTGGACTATGATTGTGGGTCATCTTTTCAATAAAGTACTACTGGATCTACTTGAGATCTGTGTATCTCAGAGTGGTACATTATGTGACACAACTTTGCTAGGCTGTACAGTTACAGTTTCTTGACCTTAAATGTTTTACTTCTATGTAACCTAACTGCAACCAAAATGCAGCATTGTGCAATGTGGTAAAAAAAAAAAAGTTTTATATTTGATTGGAGGTTATTTCTACAATGGCCTCCTAACAAGAAATTATCCACCAGTCAATCAGTCATCTGTTCGATTAAGTGTTTTTGTTTGTCTGTTTATTTCCATCAGGAGTGGTTAGACGCGCGGTGTAGAGGAGTCCGCAGCGCTAACGCCTACATTCTGGTCTATGACATCTGCTGCGTGGAGAGCTTTGAGTATGTCAAGATGATCCGACAGCAAATTGTGGATAACAGGTATGACAGAGCTCATTCGGAAGCTGAAATTACCCACCTCAAAGAATAATAGAGAATGATTATCATGTAGATCCAATAAAAAGACATTCCTTCAGTTATTGTTAGAGTGGGACCAACTGTGGTCGTTTAAACCATTTTTTACTCAGCTTAGTAGCCCATCAGCACAGATTAATGTGAATGTATCAGCTACAGTGACAAACCACTGATTGTTTTTGATGTTTTTAATAACAGTTGGCCCTTGTTTCCCCTGCTGATGCTGAGATAATGAGGTGACATTTGAGAATATGGTTGAGTGACAGTTACAGAGCATAGACACTGTCACCATTCACTATAGCTGATAAGAATATAATAGATGCCAGTGAGAAAATCTTTTTACATATGCAGATCTTGTGCCCATAAATTGTGTGGAGCATCATGTATTTGCATATAGGCATTATGTGAACTGAATGAATGACAAAATGCAGCCATCTCAACTTTCCCTCGCCCAAAATATCATACCTCTGTTTTACAAATGCCTCACATTCTCACTGCGTTTGCTTTGAAAACATTTCTTAATGCAAAAACAAGCTATTTGGACAATTTTAAATCATTTTAATGGTCATTTCATTCAGGTATTGATTCTCATATGATCCTGAGGCCCATTGGTGTGCCATTCATCCACAACCATCACCTTATGTTGCAGCATGATAATGCACGGCCCCATGTTGCAAGGATCTGTACACAATTCCTGGAAGCTGAAAACATCCCAGTTCTTTCATGGCCAGCATACTCAATGGACATTTCACCCATTGAGCATATTTGGGGTGCTCTGGATCAGCGTATATGACAGCAGGTCCTGCTAATATCCAGAATCTTCCAATTTAGACAGATCTGTGATGTGAACAATATTTGAGAGAAATAGGCATTTTGTGTACAAAGAAAAAGTCTTAGATCTTTGAGTTCAGCTCTTAAAAATTTGGCGAAAATAATTTTGTTCATTTGTATATAACATAAATCCTCAGCATTTGACAGAACTGAAATGAGCAGAATCGGAATAATAACAGTAATAGTATTTGTTTTAATATTAAAATGAATGAGATGGAATGGCCCTAGGTCCTCAATTAAACTTAATGTGTTAAATTAAACCTATTTAAATATTTATGATAGGCAATCTGTGTACACTCAGTGCCGTAATTTGTTATTATATAAAGATACTCAAAGCCTAAATTAATTGGCCAGACATTTATTTAATACCTTCATTTATTCATATATAATTTTGTCTAAGCAATCTCTCAATTTCATTTGAACTCCTTGTGCACGATTGAATTGACAATTAAATGTATAACACTTTTTTTTTGTTTCAATTAAACAAAATGCACAACGCTTGCCTTTGAAGCCCCCGAACATGAAATGCTTTCATTCTCCATTATGTGTGAGTGTGACCTTCAAGCAGTCAAGCGAGAAAGGACACGCATCATGCATTCTCCAGCAGACATTATGAGCTCTGTGCCTTTTTTTGAAGAGAGTGACAAGGAGCTGAGAGGCTTGTAATGTGTGTGCGTGTGCCTGTGCATGTTTGCTGAAGATAAACATTAACAAATATTATGTTCAACATAAATATCATGGAAGAAATGGATGAATACTCATGTGTTACTAGAAAATTCCCTCTTAAACCTTTTTTTCTATTGCTCTTCCCACCTCTTGTCTCTTCTTTTGTTTTTCCGTAAGAGTGGGCAGCAGTAGTGAGGTGCCCATCCTGGTGGTTGGCAGTAAGCGGGACCTTCAGCGGCAGCGGTTCACCCAGCGCAGGGCCGTGTCTGTTCTGGTGAAGAAGACCTGGAAGTGCGGTTATGTCGAGTGCTCTGCCAAGTATAATTGGCATGTGCTTCTGCTCTTTAAAGAACTCCTGGGAATAGCCGTGGCGCGAGGACTACGCCCAAACCACACCTCTATCCGTCTCCAGGGGGCATTGCAGAGGAACCGCTGTAATGTCATGTGACAGATATGTAGCCTTTTTTGAATTTATGCTTATTTAGGACCAGTTTGTGTTTTCAGATTGTCCTTGTTTTCTGATTTAAACTGGTCCTAAGTCAGTACTTACAGTCATCTTTGCTGAACCACAAGGATGGAGCTTTGGTGACAAACTGTCAATCGAAATGGCTGGAATACTACCACCTAGGGGCCTCTGTAACTGATGCATTCATCTGATGGATTACCTTAGATACTACTGATTTCACTTTTCTCCAGCGTACAAACAGAAAAATGGAAGCAGAGAAGGGGTTTTTCAGCTTACCAAAGTCCGTCAGGATGAGAGTGAAATATTGCATTGGTCTCAAACAGAGACCAGAGATTCAGATGCTGTGTATTCCAGATTGACAGTTTTTAACTGTTGCCTGTAAACAGCTTTTATGAAGGGATTGAACATACTTAGGTTTCGGGAATAATGATGAGTGAAAGTTTGAGAACCCTTTGGAATTATCTATAGTTACAGTGCCAATTAAAAACAGCAACAAATGAGATAATATACCTTTTTTAACGATCTTCTTTAAAAGTTCTTATTTATCGTGGTCATCTTTAGATTAACATTCAGAAGCAATGACTTCAACCAAAAATTTCAGTGCCATACTCCTCATTGGCTCATTTCTCTTTTGCAAAACTGCTTCAGGACATTAATATTGAAAGAGCTGCGCACTTCAGATCCTGCCACTACATTTCACTTCATGAACCTGACTAACCAGATGCTGCACCTCACCGACAAACATCTCACTGTTTTCCCATTCCCTATAGGAATTCACTGATCCACCTTACAAAGACCTGGCAAAAGTGTGTATAATATTCGTACAGTGTGGTTGGGGTGACATTTCTTTGTTCGAACAGCTTTCTTTTTAATGGCAAAATGGTTTTAATTCGTTCTGATGAGCTGTCCTTCCATGCACACCACCCCAGTTCAGTGTTTGGTCCCATGATATATGTTCACAATTTACCTGAGTGTGGATTTGTGAAGGCCGTAGTCAATAACTTAACACTTTTTATCCTTATGTGAACATCAAAACGCTTTATCTGAAGGCCAATGATTAGGTATGCCAAAACTTATACTATGATTTACTCACATATGTCCTGTCAAATCTAGTAACATCCTACCTCCTAAATATAGGTCATTGAAGAAATGAGGCACAAAATAAAGTCTTCCTCTGTCAGGATAGCGAGGTGTTGTGTGGAGATTTCAGCAAGCATGTACACTGGCACTCGAAAAGCTGTGAGAAGTGATGATACAGCTAACAGATCCTCTGGGGCTTCCCTAAACCTGAAGCTTTCTGCTGAACCAAGATGCAGAGGAGGCTTATGTCGTTTACTGCAGTCGACTGCAGTCTGTATGGCACAATCCACATCCTCTCTGGAGTATTTCTGAATGCAGAATACATTAAAGTTAAAGTGGTTCGTTCAGTGTCTGCAATGAGATTCAGGGTAGAGAACATATAGACGTTTGGCCTGAGCTTCAAATGTCCTAATATAGAGAGTGTTCTCTTGACATGTACTGATAGTTGGCACAAATGATTTGTTGGCTGTGTTGAAGTGTTGCTTTGGTGCACGGGTGGTGGGGGTTTATTTTATTATACTAAAATTGATGGTCCCTGAATGCTTTCCTATTTTCATTTTTCTAAGACATATTTTCATACCAGGCAGAGAAAAATCCCTCGTTCCTCGAAAATGCAACCCTGGCAGCCATCTATGCACTTGTACACATCTTACGTGACTGTCAGCAGATGGAAACATGAATAAGTTAGTAACTTTGGTCATCCTTCAGACTTTTTTATTATAAAGAATTTGTTTTCTGTTGAATAGAGCTGCATGCTTTAATTGGCAAAACCTAAATCATTCAGGGGTAAATTGCACTGACGTACACTGCATGTACATGAGAGTGCAAGCAGATCTTTGTAACAGAATTGTGCATCGTTTTTGTCTTTTTTGTATAATGTTAGTGTAAAGCTTAGTATGTAGTTTAAGTGTATGTGATGGAGATGGAGTCAGGTTTGTGTTCTAAAACAGCAGAGATGGACTCATACATTTGCATGCCACACAGTGTTATGGTTGTGGACTAGGGACTGGACGACATGATGTAGCAGATGTCATGTTTTTGTGGAACGTGTCCTGTGCTCGTAATGTTAATGGCTTTAGACTGAACTTTCAGACATGCTGAATATGGATTCTCTTGGTAGGACTGTCTGTTTTTTTTTCATGTCAATTTGTTTTAGATTTTAAAGGGCTACCTGCTTTTTCTAATATGGAAAGAAATGTTGTCTTTTTAGTAGTTGTAATGTTTCATCAAAGAAAGTTTAATAAACCCTTTCAAACGACGTGTGAGCTATTCTCCTCTTATGTTGAATATTTTATACACTTGTGTCTGATATCCCAAACTAAGTGCTTGTACCACATTTGAAGCTCTGTGGCGACATCACCTGGTGAGATCCCAAAACATCATATCATATGATTGTAGTCTGCCGGACCTATTCTAAAAAAATAAAAAATAAAAACATAATACAAAAATATCTGTCTGATAAGTTTCTATATGTACCTTATTCAGTTCTAAACCCGTTCAAAAAAAAATAAAATAAAATAATAATAATACACAGAACAACTTGAGGGAAAACGATGATAGTAGGCTACTAATAAATATTTTCTATTAATAAAAAAATATAAAATAACAATTACCAAATTAGTTTGAACAGTTTACACTTAAGACCCACGCTGGTAAATATGTGAATGACAATAAATATTTATTTGCTTACAGAGAATTAAAGGCAGACACTGTCCTACATTTCCATGATATAAAATTATTATTTTGTTGGTCATATTAAAATATTTAATATGACAAACACTTTAAATAAGGTGTCCACGTTACACGTGCTACATGCTGAAATAAATAAAGTAGAATATTCCCGTTCCTCAAATCTGATTGGATAAGCTAAACAGCGTTTGTATCTCTCCGCTTGTGGTTGACACACAGTAGCTAGCCTACTTCAGCAGTGCGGAGTGAATGAATGCGAAGCTTGCTTGCAGTTAGGGGTTATTATGTCAATTGTGTTTTTCTCTTGCTAATGAAAGTTGAGCGTGGCTTCTTGTAGAAGAACTATTTTCCCTTGCGAGAACTGGAAAGATTTAAGTTAATTTAACCGTGGAGCTATTTTTATTATTAAGCACTTGCTTTGCGACACATGAACAGTGTCGAGTAAAATGCGACCTATTGTACGAGGAATAAACTCAGGAGGAGAATAAACTATGTATGTAGTGCGCTGGTGATTTCAGAGCGCGCGCTCCTCTCGCGCCGCCAGTGGTTGTCGCTCCTGCTCTCACGCTCGCTCGCTGCTCTTCATCTCTCTATCATCGGGGAGAGTGTGGTGTTTCTCTCTCCCTGCCCCAGACCCTCCTCCTCCGGCAGCCCGTCCATCTCAGCGCATAGGCGAAGAGTTTATGGGGAGAGTGGCCGCTCCCTACAGCGGCCCCGGCAGGATAGTGTCCTTTCTCACAGCAGTTCCTTCTTGCTTATCCTGCAAACAGCAGCAGCAGCGGCGACATCATCATCACTCTGCGGCAGTGCACCGGGGCAGGAGGAGGATGAGCGAGCAGGGCAAGAGTGGCTCGTCCACGCCAGCGAGCGGGACACCAGCCCCGGGCTCCGACACGTACAAAGGCTGGCTCTTTAAATGGACTAACTACATTAAAGGTTACCAGCGAAGATGGTTCGTGCTCAGCAATGGACTGCTGTCCTATTACAGGTAAGTTAATGATTGGCGTTCATGTCCACGCATGGTCTTGTTTATCATGCACCTGTGTTGGTGTCATTATTACAAGAATGCATATTTGCACATACTGTAAAAGGGGCACTATTTATTTTCGTCCTGACCACCGTAGGGATCTGTCATGTCAAATACACATGCGAACAATCAGCGCACTTCATGAGCGCGTCTCTAGTGTGGAAAGATGCTGCTAGTCCATCCCTCAAAACTCTCAACTCATTTTGCCACCATGTGTTTCTTTTAAACCAGTTCCTCGAATGTCGTTATGAACGGATAAACTACTGTCTTATAAATGACAACAGTGCGCTGTGTTTTTATTAGCGCGTCAGCTAGCGCTCATGCTAACGTCAACGGATATTCTCATTCAGCGATCCTGTTATTATGAGAGTCGTTGCACTTTAATATTTGACAACCGACTTCTCCGTGTGTATGTGGGCGTGTCTTACAAATTCCGGTCTAATCATATTTCTGGCTTGTTTTTATGGAGAAACCGGCAACCAGTCATTTATAATGGTCCAAATTCAGCTTCTGGCACAGCAGATGTGGTAGCCAGTGTTAGCTATTAGCCAGCCACACACCAATCCAGGATATCCCTACAAACATTTACCATGGTAAACAGTTTTCCTTTAAATATAACAAAACAACAATACTGTAATTTAGTCAAAAGCGACTTAATTAAAGGGAAAGGAATAATTTAAAAGTTCGTTTTTCAATGATCAAACGCATATAATATAGGTTATGTTTGGGGAAAAACAACATTTAGGTCAATTGTGTTGTTATTGTTTTTTTGTTTTTTTTGTGTGACATCATCTCGAATGACAGGGGCTGAGATATGTGAGTATCTATGCAGTGATACAGTTTCTCTTTAAAATTTAAACCTCCCTCACATGTGTCACCTGTGAACTGGCCGTTCCACCTGTTGTTTTAGAGGCCCTTATGCCAGCAGTGGTAATCATGTTTCATCTCTCCCTGTGTGTCAGGAAGACAGGAGTTAACTGTCACAGAACCTAATTACTATGGTCTTTTAATTGCTTCATTACCACAGCTAGGTCTGTCCCATAAGAGAAGCATTTAATGATTTAGCTAGTCGAGCAGAAATATTGCCCATTGAAATTTGTAAGTGATTGCTCATTGTGTATTTTGTATGTCGACATGCATACAGGACAATGTTAATATCTCTTACCTGAGCTATGACGATTATAATTGTCATAGAATGTCCTTTTAGTGGTGATTCTGCAGTTTCTGAAATAATGCATAACAGTGTCTTTGAGATGATTGACCTTTTTAGCAGACTTTATTGCCCTGTTGAAAATATTAGGAGATAGACCTCCTGGAAAGATGTATGATAAAAAAAGCCTACTGTAAATAGAAGTCTCACCTTGCAGTCCTTGCATTTACAAGAACCTGTTTGTTTATTGCAAAATGCGTTTGCGTTAGCTTGACCAGCCTGGAGTTTTATTAGGCTAATTTAAGGTAACAAAATAAGATCACAAAAGGTTGTTTATTTCAAATATAATTTAGCATCCATTGACAAATAGTTTTGAGGATTTTGGTATTTTCCTTTTACAGGTTGATACATAGAACATATGCTTCCTTCAAGTGCACCTGGGAAACTTGTACCTCATTCTTCATTATGACATGTCATGCATTCATGTTGGAAAAAAAAACTAAACTAAGTAAAAACTAAGTAGTCTAAACTTAACAAAAGAAATATGTTTTCTATATATTTACATTTGATCTGAATTATTAATTTCTACCTTTTTGTACATAGAATCACTAAATATGAAGCAAAGTGAGTGAGTAAAATTGAGTGATTAAAGGGATAGTTCACCCAACAATGAAAAAATTGTCCTTATTTTCTCACCCTCATGTCGTTCCAAAACTGAATGAGTTTCTTTCTTATGTTGAACTCAAAATACGATATTTTGAAAAATGGTTGTAAGACAGTTGACGGTAGCCATTGATCTCCTTTTTTCCTACCATTGAAGTTTTTGGGTACCGTCAATTGTTTGATTTACCGGTACTAACATCTTTTGTAATATCTTTTTGTTTTCCACAGAAGAAGAAAACTCCTACAAGTTTGGATCAATATGATCAAGTAATTCCTTAATGTTCATTTTAGGGTGAAAAATCACTTTAACATCATGCGCTACAGACTTGCTTTCCTCTCACTGATAATATACTGTATTATGATATTATGTAAATTATAGGTCAGTGTTTCCATCATTTTTCCAATCAACCCAAAACTGTTGGGAGCAGCTCTGGTGGAGAACAGTGACTGGATCTAAACCCTTTAGATGACACACATATCTCTATCTCTGTAAGTTTATGAAAGCGAAACCCCACATGAAAACCTGCAACACCCATTTGTGCAGACAACTAGTGGTCCAGTCCTCTTCCGATCACACAGCTCGTTTTCGTCCTGAAAGCGTACAGGTGTGAGTTTGGTTATTGAATTTGGTTGTCAGTCCTGTAAACAACTGAACTGTGTGTGACTGTGAACGTAACCATATCAAGGTTTTAAAAACAAGACTGACAACCGCATTCTGTTGATGTGTGAACGTGGCCAGTTTCACAAGTTTCACAAGTGTACTTGAAGGCAGCATAAAGGACTTTGGTATTATCCTATTTCATTCAGTCTTCAAAATGATACTGACCAGCTTAAACACCAATCCAGCAAGGCTTGCTGAAGACGTCCAGGAAGTGTTTGAGAGGCTTTGTGTTGTCAGAACTGTATTGTTATCAGATGGTCATGAGGGTCATCGTGATAGCGTCATGGGAGCAGATCTTTAGTCAAGCGGCTAATGAAATAAGGGCAAAGGCTCTTGTAAGAGCACTGAAGCAATGCCCATCAATCCGTATCTCTACTGGGCAGCCCCTGTGAGCCTACTGACTCTTCACACAGTGGGCCAAATGGTTTCCACCCTCTCTGGAGAGTCTGAAGGGAAAGCGACACTGCTGACTGTGAAAGAGAAGAAGTGTCTCTCTTGCTGCCCTCCTCTATTAATAGTCTATTATGGTGGAAGGTGATTGCAGTGGTGTAAAGCTAGATCTGCTGTCATCGGAGAGCTCTGGCAACTGTGCGCACGTAGCCAACACAATGAAGTGTCTGGATAACGTGCTGCACTAATGTCTGCCAAATCAACCTGCCAAACACGCCGTTACAGAGCCAGAGAGAGCAACAGCATATGTGCGAATATGTTTTAGAGCAAGTGAATGACAACAATCATTAGATTATGAATTGTTTCTTAACAATTCCTTGGAATTTAAAAAGTAAATGTTCTAGTTAATGGGATTGTTCGTCCGAAGCCTACATTTTTGTCAACATTTACTCCCCTTCATGTTGTTCCAAATTGAATGACTTTCTTTCTTCTGGAAATATCTTGAACAGAGAAAATCAAATAACAATTAGTAGAGGGGACTTCTGGGCTTATGATATAGCAAAGGATATGATTTAGATGTGAACTTGTATCCCTGGCCTGACTCTGAGTATGTGTACTGCATAATGCACCATCGCTCAAATACAAGAGATGTATAGCCTATATTTTATGCCTACAATTTTATTAGTCCATTAGTGGTCAATATATTGCACGTCAAGCGATTGGAAAGATTTGTACAACTCAGGCAAATCTGCTTCATGCTGCATGCGAAATATGCACTATTACAACATCACAGCACTTAAAGGCAGAGATCTGCCGACTCGGACACTCTGGGTGGCCTCTGTATCAGCAATTTTTTATTTTCAGCTTATATCAGTCTAATGAGTCCCACATGGTCATTTTATAAGAAATCCACATTAAAACATCGCACAACTAAGCCAATACAATGTTCTATTGATTAAGCCTAGCACAATATTTCTTTCTCACTATATTTCATTAAATATTTCAGATCATTGTATCAATATTTTTATCAATTTGCAATGTATGACACTACTGTTCAAAAGTTTGGGGTTGGAATATATTTTTTTTTAAATCAAAAGTTTGATCTAAAATACAGTAAGGATAGTAATATTGTTAAATAGGCTATTATTACAAAGTAAAGTTTTCTATTTTAGTATATTTTAAAAGGTAATTTATTCCTGTTATAAATGAATGAAAAATGTTCAGTATCAATACTCCAATTTTCAGTGTCACATTATGCTTCAGAAATTTGAAAAAACAAATTTGGTGCTTAAAATACGTTTTTTTATTATTAATTGTTTAAAACTGTCTTTATTTTTGTGGAAACCGGGATACTTTATTTCTTGATTTTTTGATGAATAGAAAGTTTTTTTGAAATATAAATCTTTGTAACATTTTAAGTGTCTTTACTGTCACTATTGATCAATTGAATGTGTTCTTGCTGTATAAAATTATGAATTAATAAAAAAAAAAAACTTTAATTTTTAAACTTTAAAACTTTAATTAACTTTAAAACTCTATAATTTTATTATAATTTTGAGCAGAAATCACATGATATTGTGGTGCATCATAATCCAGTCAATCAATTTAGCCTATATCCGTCTCTGAACTCATGTGTCTGTGAGTCATGCGAGCGCTGTTGCGAGGATGCTGCTGATCTCTGTATGCTCACATTCACGCTGTCTCTTTCTCTCTCTGGGCTCATTTCAATGGGCTGGATCGAACTGATCTTGCTTTCATATAGACTTGTGGATCATTACTAAGAGACACATTAATCAATGTGCTCTTCTGAAGAACTCAGCTCCCTGTAGTGCTGTCACAGTGACGCAGACATGAAGAAAATGCTGAGGCTTTCTATAGGAAGCCTTGGATGTGTTCTGCTGATGTGTTAGTTTTACCCTCCACCACACACAGTTCTGTCATCTGCAGTGCTAAAACACGTTAAAGTGTAATGGTCTGCGTAAATTGCACTCGGTCACAACACCTCCCCCTTCCTCATTCCCCTCCTTGTGATGAGTCACATATCTTCCCCTCCTGTTTTTTTTTTCTTCTTAAACGCTGACTGCTTCCTTCTGTGCA